TTGCGATTTATATCAGCAATTTTATAAAAGGTTGCTTATCATAAGAATAGGTATCACTTTTACAGAATTGGTTAGCGCCATGAGATCATAGACACTAGGCAGATATTAGTAACGTAAAAAAAATGAAAACTGCTTTATTTGTGCCATTAGACATTTTACTATTATTGTTTTGAATGTCTAAACAGTTGTCCAGAATTGAGGCAATTGCTGCAACTACTGTTTTCTTTAGACAATTTTAAACTTGTATACCATATTTGGTGATCTTTTACTGCATTTCATGTTCTGTGAAGAACACTGTATCATTAATATAGTACAGATTTCTTAGGCCATATTGCTTAGTAGACATTCATTTAATTACTATTTTTGGGTAAAAAATTAACTTATTTATACATTTATGTCAGCAGTATTCATCCTTGCAATGTGAGAATTAATAGCTATCACTTCAAGTTTAGTACACTGAAGTATGCAAACACTGTTTATTATTCACCACAGTGTATAATGTACACCACAGGGTACAATGTAAACCTCAGTGTAAAATGTAAATTACAGTGCATAATGTACACCACAGTGTATAATGTACACCACATTGTATAATGGACACCACGCGGTACCATGTATAACACAGTATATAATGTACACCACAGTGTAAAATATACACCACAGTGAATTATGTATACCAAAGTGTATAATGTACACCACAGTGTATAATGTACACCACATTGTAAAATGTAAACCACACGGTACAATGTATAACAGTGTAGAATGTACACCACATTGTATAATGTACACAACATGGTACAAAGTATAACTGAGTGTATAATGTATGCCACAGTGTATAATGTACACCATCGTGTTAAAAGTATACCACAGTGTATGATGTATACAATAGTGTATAATGTATACCACAGTGTATAATATACACCACAGGGTACAATGTATACCACAGTGTATAGTGTACACCACAGTGTATAATATACACCACAGGGTACAATGTATATCGCAAGGTACAATGAATACCACAATGTATAGTGTACACCACAATGTATAGTGTACACCTCAGTGTATAATATACACCACAGTGTATAATGAATATACTATAATGTTGTCTTTACAAAGCAATTAAAATCAAATTAGAGTTTTCTTGTTATCATGCTGCATATGAATTAAGTTTAAATTTAATTTTCTCAGCATTTGAGACTGAAATGTTAGTAAAGTTCAGTTTATTGAAAACAACTACCAAAATTCAAATTGATTTTTTTTGTTGAACAGAATTGCGCAATAAATAATTGCATTTATTGCGTGCCATAAGGTTTAAATTGAATATTATCAAAAAATTAAAACACAAACAAAAGAAAGTTTGACGGAATTGTGCGCTATAGCGAACAATTGCGCGCAATTTCTTTGCGTTTATTGCGCGCAAGTAAAGTCCACTTGCATTGGAAATCCTAGTTGTAAGCATTATGAGTTATACATTGTGTCAGACACAAATAAATACTTTTTAGAGTATGAGTATGAGTATGAGAATGAGATCTGTAAGAAGCCCCATTTTGAGCAACCCAGACCACCAACAGTGGTATCTGACCCTGCAGGTGAGAATAGTACTGATCCAGCCCGGCCTCCATTCCATGGAGGGGTACAACCTGGAGGTATAGCGTGAGTCACAAGGCGTACCCTGCCACAGCCCATCAATTGATACACCCATTGTTACCTGCATTAGTTTAACCATCATGGAGAACTGTATTATCACCTGTTAAAGTAGATATGTTATCCGTTTCCATTCCTTGAGTATGGAAATAATTCAAACTCCTCGTTCTGTCATGACATTTACATCGGATCTGTCGCCCCAAGGAATTCCTTCATTATCCGCTCCTTTGATATCAAAGGTGATCTTGCGTCTCGAAATGATTGCGCGCCTGTGGTGAACCTGGCGAAGCTTGTGCTTGGGCAGTCCAATAGTACATGCTGGTCATCAAGTTTAGCAAAGACTTCCAGGGTATGACACCAAGGGCACTGCTTGCACGACTGACCCACATGATTAGGACGCCTGTTCCCTAGCCCAGCATCTCCTGCTTTGAACTGGTTTAAGGCAGCACACGCTTTGGAGTCATTTAATTGAGGATTAGGCTTGAACCAATTACTTGGTTCTGATAACCATTTCAGTGATGTGTGTGACTGCTTAGTCAACTGGAGCTTGATAATTTGGTTAGACATAATCCGTTTTTTTCAGGAAAGCCTTAGAGATCTGGGTTGGATCTGGGATATCCAGCTCAATTAGTAAGGACTTAATACATTTAGTCCATTGGTCGGTCACATCTGACAGTGTAGCCTGTGCTACTGTCTTTAGAAGGATGTCATTTTCCTTTGTTATGAGACGGCGTGCAAACAGTAGAGCTCTTTCGTCCAGACGCATCTGGATGGATTTCAGCCCCCCCTCCAACCATCCCATAACCTGTGATGAGGATTGGGGAAGCTTTAGGATGAAGGAAGCTACTGAGTGTTGGATTTTCTCCAATTCCCTAACTGTAGACTTGGAAATGACCATGGCTTCTGTTCCATACAGGAACTGGGGAATTGCACAACACTCCCACAGTTTATATGCAGTGAGGGACCTATCCAGGCCCCAACGGGTGCATCCCATGATAGTATGATCGTAAGCATGGGCAGACCCAATCATATTGGACTCTAGGTTTAATTAGATTCCGTCCTTGGACACTAATATCAACACCAAGGTATTTTGCTACCAGAGCAGCCTCTAGGTCTGGGCCTGAGTCACTGACCCTCCAACTATTCTGGTTTGTACCATAAGAGAGAATCACAGTTTTCTCCACTGCAAGCTTCATGTCCATTTCAGTATAAAATTTTTGTACAGCTCTAAGGAGTCTATTCATTCCTCTTCTTTTGGTCCTTGAGATAAGAACAAGATCATCAGCAAAAAAGAGTGCAGAAATAGTCATGCCATTAAATTGAACACCCTCTTTCATAGAGTGTAAAACTTTACCTAGACCTGAAACATAGAGAGAAAATAACAACGGAGACAAAACACACCCTTGCTTAACACCTCTTGTGAACCATAGAGGATTTGACAAACCTCCGCATAATCTGACTCTCACATTGTCATTGTAATACATTGACTGTATAATCTGCTTTACCTTTCCCTCAAACCCCAGGGAATCAAGTTTTAGGTAAAGAAGTTCACGATTTACAGAGTCGTACGCTTTAGCTATGTCACAAAAAGCTAGGGAAACAGTGTGGTTTCGCTTTTTTGCACGCCTGATTCCAGCCAGGAGAATGAAAACACAGTCTGAGGTTGACCTTCCCTTCCTGAACCCAAATTGAGTAGTCCCGTAAAATCCTTCCGTTTCACAAATTTTGTCCATGCGGGAATGAATTATTTTGGTGACTAGGTTCAAAATCACGCTGGACACCGTTAACGGTCATTTTCGTGAGACTAGTAAGGAAGGTTTCTTTTTATCAATTAAGGTCATTTTTCCTGTGTTAAGGACCTCTGGAAGCTGACCTTCATGAAAAATATTGTTAATCGAAATACACAATATCTTGCAATGTTTAAAATGAGCTTTTATAGCTTTAAATAAGATTACTTTTGTATAATTAGCTCGGTAACGAACAATGATTTTTGAGAAGGAACAAAATTGTTCATGGAAAAGGGTGGATCATTCAAATAATAAACGCACAATTTAAAATTGCTGAATATGAAAAAAATAGCGTTTTTTTCTGAGGACATATGATTTTACATTTTGAATTTTTTTTTGCATTCTTGTACTTAGATATAACCGTTATACATATGAAAAAAACCTGAATGAAATGATGTATGACATCAAGGGCCACCCTACACCCTACCTACATGTACTCCTTATTAGGGTGGCTAATTAACTATTTAGATGCTTGTTATTCATGGTTTTGATTATTGACAATCTTTTGAGCGCACTTTTGATCATTAATAGATCTCTTATGTTCACTGAGCTGGGAACTTTAGAATGGGATACCTTTAATCCCGACTGCTTAATCAAAACATCCAATTTGGACACTTTTAATTTCTTGCTTAATCCAATCTTTTTTTAATAAAACAGAGAAAAATCAAAAACCGGTTTTTCCAAACCAGACTGAGTCCCTCCCGTTTCTGTATGGCGCGCAGAATTTCAAATTTTCCGGCTTCTTATACGGGACTCTGATTGGTTGAATTTTATATACTTTTCAAGTTACAAGTACAAGATTAGGTTAGTCTCGAGATTAAGAAACAGAGAGGATAAAGCATTGGTCTCGATATCCACCACTATAAAGTTCCCAGCTCTGTTCATACCAATAATATATATAAAAACATATATTATTTCTATTAATTCAAAATTCAAATCTTGTGTTGAATACTTATTTTTAATATTTTTTCTTTTGAAGATATATCCAATTTATCAATTTTAAGAATCAATATTTACCCGGAGGTAGGTAATTGATAAAACCATATAATTGATATATTTTCCTGGTTCAAACTAAATATGCTGCAGATACTAATTTTAACAATTGACAATACCCCATTTAATATATAAATGCATAGAATATTTCTTCCATTATCTAAAATGTAGTTTTACTTTAAAGCTTTAATTCTAAATAAGGAAAGTTTAAAGTAAGACTAGTTTTATGATCATTATCTAAGGTGCTGCGATTCTAATTACAAGTGACCCTCCATTTAGAAAAAGTGGCATGCAAAATTCACAAGGCACCCATTTCAATGAGGTTGAAAAGAATCTAATTCGGACAATTTCCTTCATTGTTTCTGCAACAGGATTCCACAAGTCACTAAGATAGAGGAACCACAATGAAAGATAATCAATTTTAATAGAGAACCCCATAGATATCTAATTCATACGCGATCAGAAAAATCTTTTAAGTGTTCCGTTGTGAATTGTACTGATTGAACAAGAAACTCTGTATATTAATGGTCACATAAAATTACAGCTTCAGTTGCGATAAAACTGGAAATTTCTAACCTAGAAATGGTAGAAACCCCTTCAAGAATTGCATTTCCTGTCACCATAGCTCCAGCAGATGTATGGTACATAGGCAGAGGGGAGTATATGACGTCATCCTCGTACACCTGCAAAATGTACTGTCAGGTCGTTTTCAGTAGTTGTGTACAGTCACGTCGAGCTCAGTCATAGTGTACAGTCACGTCGACCTCAGTAATAGTGTACAGTCACGTCGAGCTCAGTAATAGTGTATAGTCACGTCGAGCTCAGTAATAGTGTACAGTCACGTCAAGCACAGTAATAGTGTACAGTCACGTCGAGCTCAGTAATAGTGTACAATCACTTCGAGCTCAGTAATAGTATACAGTCACGTCGAGCTCAGTAATAGTGTACAGTCAACTCGAGCTCAGTAATAGTGTACAGTCAACTCGAGCTCAGTAATAGTGTACAGTCACAATGTGGTACATATACTGTACACTGTACAGTCACGTCATGGCATGTATACTGTACATATATTAAGAACATTGCATTGAGAAACCCTACACCGGTGTGATGCCCGGAGAGAACTCGTACCTGCAGCGAACTCTGGTTATGTTACGCGGCAAAGCGCAAGATTCTTTAAACATAAACAAACACTGGAATGGAAGGGATTTGTTTCAGTTCTAATATCGGGATTTTCGACCCCTCCCCCTGCCCTATTATGCTTGCACACGCAATTTCAACTTTTAAATTTTAATAAATTAATATTTATTTTTTATTATTTCAGGGTTAGACTACAAGGTTTCCGAAAAAAGTGTGTTTAGGCTTTTTAGTCTACTAAAATTCATTTTTTTGTAGTAAAAAGTTCTTCTAGAGGTTAAAACCCATAGATGAAGGGGGGGGGGGTCGTAAATGAAACATTTCTCTAGTTCTAGGACAGACCCTATGCGTTAAAACGACGGATCAATTACGGAAAATTTGCCGTAAATTCAAATAAATCGAATTTTTCTTGTTTGTTTACATTTCCAGAAACTTGCGCTTTGCCGCGTGCATAACCAGAGTCCGCTGCAGGTACGAGTTCTCTGCAGGCATGACACCGGGCCCCCTCTCTTACCTTTGCCATGCAGAACAAAGCGTATACTGTAAACATGTATCTAAACGCAAAATATTGAATAAATGTATTTATAAGAATATTATTGCGTTCAACACAATAATTTTTTGACCTACAGATTTTACATGAATTAAGTTTACGAAAAATAAACAGCATTTTTAGTTCAATTTAACATTATTTCTTTATCAATAATTGTTTACGCTTCCTTGAGCTTTTTATAATTGCAGCTTTAGGTAGGCCTGTTGTTCCACTCGTGTAGATATAAAAGAGATCATCATTGTACCCTGTATGTCTAAATTTAAAAAAAATTAGATTAAAAAATATAATAATTATAAAATCTTAATGTGAAAAGCTGAGTGTTGAAAAAGTATAATTATCTTAAATATAATACCATTTTTAGAGCATAATTTTTAATTTTTTTATTTTTTAACCTTTTTTCTTCAGAATCACAGTTTTTTTTTTGTTTAAATTAAATAGTACAAACTAATTCCTTCAACAGAAATGAATTCTCAAAAACGCTGAATCATTGGATTATATAATACACTTCACAATTATTAAATAAAATTGGATTTCATAAAGAATAGAAATAATAATTCTCCTTCAGGATTTACACAAAAGAAAATATTTCTGAGAATATTTTTATTGAAATGTTGGAAATTTCTCGATAAATCATCCGAACATTAAACAGATTAATTACAGTATGCTGACGAAAGGAGATATTTGAAACAAATAATGAACTACACTTAACAGAAGTGAAATTTTTTCAAGTTTTAAGAAAATCCGTTTAATTATATTTATCATAAGCTCTACATACGTTTTTTAAATACAATATTTATTTCTAACTTGAAAAGAAGGAGTAGATAATCATATGAACATATGAATGAGATAATTAGGGGTAAATTCGGCTAGAAACCCTTACTTTGGTAGGGTATTTCTCTCCTTCCCCCCCCCCCCCTTCCTGTATAGCCCTTGATAACAACGGGTGTCCAAAAAAAATCTGAAAAACGCTCTGTAAACGTAATTTCAAGTGACCGTTAATGAAAATGTCAGATTTACAAGGGTACCCTTAAACATTAATCTGCTCAAAACATGGAAGTTTAAAGTCGGCACTCTGACTTTGAAAAGTGTTTATTTCTGATAATTTTCCATTAAATTTTGTTAAGCAAGAAATGTCCATGTGACGATAGAAAACCGATACATCTATATATAAATTTAGCTTGTCTGTCTGGGTGTTTGTTTGTTTATATCCAATAAACGTCAAAACGGCTGAACCGATCAGGCTCAAATTTTGTGTGGGATCTCACGTGGACTCAGGGAAAGTTAATGAATGTACAAAATTTCAAATATTTTTCTCCATAAAAATTCGATTTTCATTAAATTTTTGAACATTTTGAAAATCCAGGAATTTTTTTGTTAAAAATCCGCAAACTTTTTTGTTTTGTTTTACGATGTACACAAAAAGAGCATGTTCACAATTTAAAAAAAAAGATGGGCGTGAATCGCCCTAAAAGTCATACATGAACAACCAAAGCTTTTCAGGGCGTTGTTGTACAAATTGCTATCTTAACATAGAGGGTCACTTAAAATTACGCTTACTGTCCATTTGGCCGTTAAAGAAAATTAATTTAAAGATCTTACTTGAGATCAATCTGAGTATTGAGTTGGTCCTTGAGTAGGCTACGGAGATCTAAACCTCGATCATCAGCTCGTTCATCAACACAAAACAGCTCAGTATCATCAGATAGTTCACCAGATATATCAGAGATCGCTGAACAATCAAATAGTTATTTTAAAAAAAAATTAAATCCAGTTGAATTTTTCGGTTTTTTGTTTCCACATCATCCTTCTTCTCAAATAGTTAATTAAAAACTAAGTTTCCACATCATGATATGCAGCTGCTTTATCCGCGCGCCATTATTAATACGCCTTATACTTCACAGCTGATTTTTCCGCATTAAAGTTAAGCTGATTTTCCCGCATTAATGATCAGCAGATTTTTCCGCCAAAAAACAAAAGCACCCGTAGATTGTCACAATATACTGCCGCTTTTCTTGCAATACAATTTCGCGCTATAAATAAATGCGTAGCCCACTATCAATTGAGTGTCGAATCAGGACAAGGCCACAAAAAATTGTGTTCAAAACTTCAACAACATTAAACATTTTCGTGGTTATTAAGATCAATCAAGAAAGTTTACCTTGCTCTAATTCTGCGGAGTATATCACAGCTTTGCTTTTAACAATTGTAATTGTGTGAAGTAAACCCTCCTTCCTAGAAATAAATATTTTAAATAAAAATACAAAAACTGCAGCAAACTGAAGTTTTCTAATCCCTATATCTTTGCAACCTGATAACCTCGACAACATATGTATAATTTCCTATTAAACTACAACCAAAAACGTGCTTTATAGCATTTTTTAAAAGACATTCTTAAAATGGTTGTGCTTGATAATCTCAACATAATCTAATTTTACTATTTGAATATCTTTGGACATCATCAGGTTGTAAAGATATAAATTAAATATTTTTTACGCTGCATGTTCTAAAGGGGTAAAGTCTCAATTTTATATCCCCACTATCCAACCACCCATAGCAACCCTTCCCCGCAAAAATGTTAAATCCTTTATCATTAAATATTAATAATGTTTTTCATTTGCAAATAATCCCACAGAGATAAACTTTACTCAAAGTATTTTATCCTTTTTTATTTATAGAGCAAATATTTTTTTTGTATTTTTTTTAGATAATATATTGTTTATATGAATGAAGGATGGTAAAATATTGAGATTATAGAAAATAAAAGTACTTTACATTAAAATAAACATTTCAAGAGAGAGAGTACAGAGGATAATACAACTATACAAAGTACAATACAGAGATAACAGAGTACAATAAGAAGTACAGAGTATAATGCATAGAGTACAGAGTACAATACAGAGAGTACAGAGAACAATACAGAGAGCACTCAGTACATGGCACAATACAAAGGTTACAAATTAGAAAATAGAGAGTTCATATTACAATATAGAAAGTACAGAGTACCAGTGAGTATAAAGTACAATTTAGAAAACATAGAGTACAATAGAGTATTCAATATAAAGTAATTTGCACAAAGAGAGTAAAAAGTACAATTTACAGTGTACAGTACATAATAATTCTTGAACTTTTAATGAATAGTTAGAAAAGAGTTCAGATTTTAGTACTCCAGGTTTGAACTTAATTACCTGATATTTGAACTATAGTAGCTGAGAGTTGAACTATGGTACCTGAGGTTTGAACTATAGTACCTGAAATTTGAACTGCAGTGCCTGAGGTTTAAACTATATTACCTGAGGTTTGAACTATAGTAACAACTGATATATGAACTATAGTGCCCGAGATTTAAAATGCCTGAGATTTGAACTATGATACCTGAGATTTGAACTACAGTACCTGAGATTTGAACAATAGTACCTGAGGCTTGAACTTTAGTGCCTGAGGTTTGAACTATAGTACCTGAGGTTTGAACTATAATACCTGATGTTTGAACTACAGTACCTGAGATTTGAACTATAGTACCTGAGGTTTGAACTATAGTACCTGAGATTTGAACTATAGTACCTGGGGTTTGAACTATAGTACCTGTTTGAACTATAGTACCTGGGGTTTGAACTATAGTACCTAAGGTTTGAGTTGATGAGAGCGGGAACAACACCTAGCATAGACAACCCTAACCAGTAACAGCAGTACTCTATCCTGTTCTCCATAACTAAATAAATTAGGATTCATGGAGAACATTAAGACAAGTTTAAAAGAATAAACTCTACAGTTAGTCAAGAAACAATATATCCTATTCTCATAGGTTTGCGATTCTAATAGTTTTGCGGAATTTTCTGTTAACTTTGATAGATTTCTAAAATTCTAACACTGGACATTTTTACAGGCAAATTTTTCTCTGTTAACTGGCTATAAACCATCCTAGGGGTCATGTGGGTTGCCATAATAATATGGGCCAATTGGGTTTAGCCGTTTTGACGTTTATAAAGCGAGCTTGGATTTGATCACCTTCAAGTAAAAAGCAACTTTAAACCCAACCTATTTAAGATACAATTCCGTTCTATGTCGGAAATGTATAGGATCCGTTTTCAGGGATATGAATATTTGTTAAAATCCATTTCTCCCATGTTTGGAATGTTTATTGAAGAGAAAGCGGGAAACAATTTTAAATTTATGAAAAATTTCAATTTTTCATCCCCCTTCCCCCCCCCCAAAAAAAAAATAAAATAATAAAAATCTTAGTACGTACATAGATGGGATCTAAATGAATCTAAACGAAAAATTTATGATCATCTTCAAAAATTATATAAAATTATAAATTTTAATAAAATCACCCTGTACACTTAACAGCCTACTTTTTTTAAATAAAGGGCAATTAAATTTTTTGAAATTTTGATGCAATTTCTAGAAAACCGTATCTTAAAAAACTGAAAAGAGTTTCATGTGATTTTTTTAATATTTGATGCTAAGGATTGTAAATTCTAAAAGTGTAAAAATATCCTGAAAACCTGAAGCTTCTTAAAATTCTATTTAAAGATATTTTATTCAGTTTTTACAATCTAATCTTTATATTCCTCTTAAATAAAGGTTATCTTTATCCTCCAGGGCTGTTTAGAAAAATTCATCTTTATTCATATTTTTTAATATTTAGAAAATATATGTGCATGAGAAATAATGATAAAAATATTTGGAGAAGATTGACCCATTTTTTTGGTTATGAGAGTGAGTGAATGACGAGAAGAACTTGATTCTTTCATTCAAAATAAAAAAATAGTTTTTTTTCAAGAATTTACTTCAGCTTGGAAAAATAACAAACANATTTTATAAAGATTTTCCTGAAATAGCACTTTTTTTCTGAAAGCTTATTCGTCGAAAACAAAGACAAAGAAATTGAAAAAATCTCCCCTCGTAACATTTCCCCCTTCTCCTAGTATCAACTTACCTAGAGCTACCACGTCTCCCTTCTTGTATCCTCTTTGTTGAAAGCATCTTGCAACCTGACAGGATTTCTCTTGTGCTTCCCTGATCCAAAACAATAATTCTTCATTTTTAAAATCTCAAAAATCTACAATTTAAATAACTCACAAAAATTAGCTGCCAGACTAGAATATCCCTAAATGATTATTCTTAGTTTAATCTTAAAAAAGGTTTCTACTTCGTCGATTCTAACTTTGAACGTCAAAAGTTAAAAGTGAGGGACTAGACCCCCAGACAAAGGACGTAAACTCGAGACTTCAACGCGGGCTCATGGATCTTAAGATGGGCAGGAAAATATAACTTTAATAATATACCAAAAGTATTACGACCAAAAATATAACCAACTAAAACATAACTAACCAGAAATATAACTAACAAATATATAACCATTTTTTAAACATAAAATATAACCATTTCTTAACCAAAATATAACCATTTTTTTAACCAAAAATATAAACATTATAAATAATTTGACCAAAACTATAAACATTTTTATCAAAAATATAACTGATATTAACCAAAAATATAATCATTTTTATCAAAAATATAACCCTTTTTAGCCAAAAATATAACCATTGCTTAACTTAAAAACATTTTTTAACCAAGAATATAACAATTTTTATCTAAAAATATAAACTTTTTATAGCCATAAATATAACCATTTTTCATCCAAAAATACAGTTATGCTTAAACCAAAAATATATCCATTTTTAACAAAAAATACATTTTTTATCCCAAAAAAAACATTTCTCAACTAAAAGTATCATTTTTTTTGACAAAAATATTAAATTTTTTGACTAGAAATTTAACCATTGAGCGCTTTTCTGATGATGAGAATCAATTATCATTAATGCGTAAATGGGATTCGTCTGAATTTTATCAAATAAAAAACATAAAGTGCTCTATCAATAAACAGAAAATGTTCTAGTTAATATAAGAAACTTCGCAAATTACGAAGAATCAGTGTCAAGTATCCATCTCCAGGAGCAGGATATACACATTCCTTTACTATCAGCAAGGGGGGGGGGACACTTTAGTGGACAAGAGTGGTTGAAAAATGGTTATATTTTTAATGAAAATGGTTATATTTTCACTGAAAATGGTTATATTTTCACTGAAAATGGTTATATTTTTGGTCAAAAAGTTATATTTTTGGTCAACAAGTTAAATTTTTAGTCAAAAAGTTAGAATTTTGGCTAAAAATAATTATATTTTTGATAGAACAAAGTTATTATATTTTTGACTAAAAAAGTTACATTTTTGGATTAATTTTTTTTTCTTTTGGTCAAAATAGTGGTATTTTTGGTGAAATAAATGGTTATATTTTTAATCAAAAATGGTCATACTTCTAGCCAAAAAAATTATATTTTTGGTCGAAAATGGTATTATTTTTGGTTGGTTATATTATTGATCTGTTATATTTTTGTCAGTTATATTATTGTCAGCTATATTATTGTCAGTTATATTATTGTCAGTTATATTATTGTCAGTTATATTTTTGGTCTGTTATATTGTTAGCGTTATATTTTCCCCGCCCATCGATCTTAAAAGTTTAACCTTCTCGGAGTGTAAGAAATAAAAACTAGCTTTTAATTTAGATTTTTTATTCCTTATATTTTTGCAACCAGTGGGGTATTTATTTACTTGATATTTAAAACTTCAACTATTTGATCTTGCAAAATTTTTAGTTCTGAGCTTAGCTCTGAATATTATGAAAAATTGTCCAATGCCCATGAAAAAAAATTGCTTTTGTAAGCCCCTTGGGTACTCAAGGGTTCCCTCAAAAAATGTCAGCCCATTCGGTTCAGCTTTTTGGCCTCCAGCTATAGCGAACATACAAACAAATATACATATATATATATATATATATATATATGAGCGAAGAGCTTTATTATATAGAAACGGGTGTAATATCCCAGGTTTATTATGCAGAAACTAGGGACGAGAGTGAAATTTTCAGTTGTAAAGAGGCAATATCATTTTAAAAGGACTGTACGTAATTTCAAAGTTAAATAGTACAGTCTGATAATAACAACAAAAACAACGATTTTGAAGTGTTAAATTCTGACATGTAAGATTGACTCAATGTGTCATTTTTTCATTTGAATTTGTGCGTTTAATTGAATATGTGTCTCAGACTCTTAATAGCTTAATAGCTTAATAACTTAATAGCTCAGCACTTGAATATTAGTATTATGTAAAGGAATTGAGTCTTTGCTACAAACTCTGATTTTCTAATTCCTATAGATTTGCAACTCAAAGTCGTAGACCTTTGATATTTCAAACTATTAATATAGTTATATATATAATCTAACTTTGAAATATAAAAGGTGTGCACCATAAGTTGCAAAGATATGGAGATTAGAAAAATTCGGATTTGTGGCCAAGACTCAATTCCTTTATAGACAAATGAGACACAAGGCAATATTTTTGTGTCTAGTCAGGTTCAAAAGTTCCTAATTGGTCTAGAATCTCAGATATGATGTGTTAAAAAATCTAATCAACAATAATTGAGATGTTGTTTCTAATGGAAACCTACAAACTAGACGAAGGTCAAATATATGCGATACTTTGTGACCTCGTAGCTCTTCTGGCTTTGATTTTTCGCACAAGTGTGAAAAAGCAAACTTATCAGAGCTGAAAACTTAAGAATGAGATATCCTTAATCCCGATTACTTAATCTGAGTATCCAATGGAAACACTTTTGATTTTCTTCTTAAAGGGACTGTAAAGGAAAAATGAAAGGGGGTATAGGCTGAAAGCTAATCACTTTAGCTCTCGATCGCGACCCATGAAAGTTATATCTGATGTGCCTACCTCGAGTTACTGATTTACAACTTTGTCAAATTTATACGAAAATTAATATATATACAATTTTGTATAAAAGTAGTGGGTTTAAAAAGATCAAATTCAGCAAATATGCAACCAATCTGAAAACGATGATATCCAGAGAAAGCTAATTGTAACTTAGGTTTACTCCAATTCTAATTTTATATTTGTTATTTCTATTTTTTATAGATTTAATTCATAATATTTTTTATACGTCCGTCTTGCTAGACCATAAATTCCACCAATGGCAGTGCAGTGGTCACGTGATACAGGCGGAGACATGTGACCAGTATACTGCTCTGCCATTGGTGACAGTTCTAGTCACGTGATTTAAGTTTAAGATTTTCTCAATTTTACATATATGAACTTTCGTATAGTTTTAACACAGTTTTATATCAATTTCTCGAGACAGGAACATCAGATAAAACTTTCATGGGTCGCTATCAAGAGCTAAAGTGATTAGCTTTCAGCCTATACCCCCTTTCATTTTTCCTTTACAGTCCCTTTAAACCGTTCTTTCTTGGATAAAGTAGAGAAAAATCAAAAACCAGTTTAAAAAAAAAGAGAGTTCCTCCCATTTCTGTATATTAATATTAAATGGCGCGCAAACTTCCAAATTTATCGGCTTCATATATGCGACTCTGATTGGTTGAATTTTATACACTTTTCAGGATACAAGTACAAGATTAGGTTAGTCTTGATATTAAGAAAAAGAGAGGATCAAGCATTAATCTCGATATCCACCATTCTAAAGTTTTCAGCTCTGGTTGCAAAACAAAATTGTACAACAGTATTGTTCTTCTTAATTAGTTCTTCAATAGTTCTGCAGATTTACTGTTATATAAAGAGACAATATAATTTTTAGCACGATTGAACTAATTTTGAATGACCTTTGCATTTAAAGAGTGGAATGTCAGATGAACAACAGTAAAAACGTTGTTAGAAATTATAAATTTTGACAATAATAATTGTGTCTTACTGAGTCACTGTCTCATTTTCGAATTGAATTTGTGTTAAATAATCTACTTGAAAAGATGTGTCTCAGTGTCTAATCATCTCAGCACTTGATTATTTAGTTATGCTACTTGAGACAGAAGACCAGGGGTGTATATTTTCCATAACCTTTTTTTTTGGCTGAACGAGGGAAAAATAAAAATAATTGAATGTTTGGGTAACAAGTATCAATAAAGGAAAAAAAACTTGTCTTTTGTTGTCCAATTTCTTTACCCCCCCCCCCTTAAACATCAAAAATCTGAAAAATATTCACCCTTGCACAGGTTCACAAATTTTTAATTTAACTTTAAACTTTTATATCGTTTACCCCGGTTTAAAGGGACAAGCGACTTAGTTTTTAGCGACTCCATTTATAAAAGCTGAATGATCGATTCACAATGGTATCCTTTAAACCCTAATCTGAGCAGAAAGGTTAAAGCTTTTTTGGTTTTCTTTTTGAAATTGGTAATTTTTAACTGTGGCTTATCTACTTGCTTATCTACGGATATATATGCAACAGAGAAGAAGAAATTATCAGAATTCAACTCTTTTAAAAAAACCATTTTAAATATTTTTCAGAAGAATTTAAATGGGTAAAATTGTCATTAAGTTGACAACGTCCCTCAAAAGTTTAAAATTATTTCTAAATCATTGTCCCTAAAGGTCAAATGTGTGTCTCCATTCTCACCACAGAAAGTCAGCAATTTCTAAAAATAAAGAATACTAGCTGAAGGGCCCGGCGTTGCCCGTGGAACATTTTTTTGAAATAGGCAACGTATATATATATATAACTATCTCTGATAGTGGTGTACTGTATATATTCTAACTAGGACTGTGCAAGTTCCAACTTTTTCTAGCCGTTTCGTTAACGGTTACTTAAACAACGTTTTTTAAAGTTGCCGTTAGTTAAGGATCTCAATTTTATTAATGGTGTTTTTATTCAATTAACGTTCAGAAATATAAATTAAGGGTGGGGGCTGAAGACGACATTTAAAAACATCAAAATGCATGAAAGTTTCATGCAATATTAGAAGAATAAAGAACAAAAGTTGCCATTTTCATAAACACACACCCTTTTCATTTTCGTTTTCATCCTTAATTTTTTTAACGATTTAAAAATGACCGGTTTTTGCCGTTCGGTAACAGATTCTTTTGTTAATTTTCAAAAACCTCCGTTTCGTTAACGGCAATTTGCCCAGCTCTAATTCTAACAAACCTTATCTGGAAGTCTAGCAGCAGTAATCAGAAATTTCTGTGTTACACTCATATTCTTGTACTTTGCTGAAAATAGATTCATTCTTTAAAACAACAAAGGAATTGAGTCTATGCAACAAAAAACTCAAATTTTTTCTGTCTTTGATGGTGTAAACCTTTGCTATTTCAAACTTAGATTATTTGATCTATCAAAATCCATAGTTTGAAACATGTAAGATCTGTGGCATTGGGTTCCAAAGATAAAGGAATTAGAAAATCAGAGTTTGTGGCAAAAACTCGATTCAATTTACATTTACTTTATTCGTAACTTCCCCCCCCCCTCCCTCCAACAACTAATAACATTTTTAATAAGCAAAATAATTTTTTGAAGAGTAAATTGGAATTCCATTTTTATGACAATCCAATATCGTGTTTGAATCATACCAATTTCTTTTCAATGCATTTTTTTATAAATGTTCCCAACAGGGGCGGATACAGGGGGGGGGCGGGGGACATTCGCCCTCTCTGACAGATTCAGGGAGGGGCGTAGCCCTCCCCCTGAATTTGGATTTTTTTGTTCCCATTTTCAGAATAGCTTCTCAATAGCATGCTTCAGGGAAAGAAACCCTAGTGCAAAACAGAAAAAATATCTGTCTTAATAAACTATAATGTGTGAAAAGTTAAAAATCTAGTTTTTTAGTCATTAATTTTGACTCTTTTTGTTCCTAAAAAATCTTGCCCCCCCCCCCCCTCTCACTTAAATCCTGTATCCGCCCCTGGTTCCTAAGGGACTGTTGGTGCATATTTTAACGACCCAACAGAACCCTTTAAACCTTTATCAGAGTAACAAAAAATTTCCATACATTTCTCGGCAGCATATATCTGCAGTACACTGCATGTGAAAAATATCTTTATTTTTTGTTCAGAGAAAAATATCAGGGTACCATGGTGAATCTGGCATGTACCATTGTAACAAGGATGGTGAGTTTGAACAAAGCCTAAATTTTAATTTTCTGATTATTTACCTGACAATGTTTTATAAAGAACACCGATAAATCTCCAGATTGTCAACAAATCTCGATCTAAAATATCAAATATAAAAACATTAAATCAATAAAATAGATTTAATCAAATTTATTAAAGGAATAGGTTGTCTTTGCCACAAACTCAAATTGTCAAATCCCTATATCTTTGCAACTTGATCATGTAAATCTAAATATTTCAAACTTAGATTACTTGATCTAACAGAACTCATAGTTCGAATTATCAAAGGGATTTTGGAAAAAAATAAATTCCTCCAAGCAAATTAAAAAAAAACGCATAATTTTAACTCCTTTTTGAATGAGCTGTTGAGATGAACAAAACAAATATGCAACTAAAAATATTTCCTTTCTCATAAACGGACATAATATATAAACTAGAGGTGTTACGAGGCCACAAAGTCGTGCCAGTAGTGTCGAATAAAGGAATTAAGCCTTTGCCACAAACTAGTGTTTTTTTTATATCCTGTATCTTTGAAACACATCTCGTAGACCTTATAATTCAAAAAATAAATTCTTTTAGAAAATATAATCTCAGTTTGAAATATCAAAGGTTTACAGCATTAGATTAAAAAAATATTGAGATTAGAAAACTTAAGTTTGTGGCAAATAATCAATTTCTTTGACCATTATCTTGATTCTATAGATCGGAGTGAGATATCCTTCTGCTATTATAGAAAATTAGAAATTTGATTCATTCGCAAAATCATAAAATAGTTTCTGAAAGGAGAGACTGTAGATTAGGAAGACGATTGACTCAAGTTATGATTTGAGATAGTTCAAAGACCATTAAAACACAATAATTTAGCAATGTACACGAGAGAGGGAACCCCCGGACGCCATAAGCCTCCGCTATGTAGACACGAGCCTCCCAAAATTGCCAGGCAGACCGAGCCTCCGCCATGCAGTATGAGCCTCCGTTTTACAGTAAACGAGCCTCGTCTATACAACACAGCTTCCTTATAACTCTAGATTTTAACATGGAATATAGAATTATTTCATTTTTTTAAAGCATAGTGGCACAAGAATTTTATTACAGATTAATGTTGTTTTTTGATTGTCATGATTTGTGACTTATATTGACTCATAAAGTGGTTTATAAGATTCATGTTTTACAATAAAACATTTCTTACGCAGTTAGGAAACTATTTGGAAATTTATTTCTGGGAAATTTTTTTATATTCTGATTATTTGTCAATATGAAGTATCTTGTTCTGATATAAATTACAAAAAAATGTATAGACAAAATCAAAACTTTAAAAATATCAAATAAAATCAAAACTTTTTCTCTAAATGTTTTCTCTAAATGTTTTCTCTAAATGTTTTCTCTAAATGTTTTCCTTTTTGCGTCAGAAATGTTTCAAGTTTTATAAACCACTGTACTAGTCATGAGTAGTCGCTATTTATAAACCACTGTACTAGTCATGAGTAGTCGCTATTTATAAACCACTGTACTAGTCATGAGTAGTCGCTATTTACTAGTCATGAGTAGTCGCTATTTATAAACCACTGTACTAGTCATGAGTAGTCGCTATTTATAATAATTGATTAATACTTCTGATACTTGATAAACTTTTTATGCCACTATTTTGTAAAAAGTACAAAAAAGTAAACTATATAAACTATTCTGTATAGCGGAGGCTCTTACTGCATGGTGGAGGCTCATGGCGTCCAGGGGTTCCCTTCCTCTGTACACTGACCCATTTCAGCTTATCAGTTGATTTTTAAGTTCCTAGAGAAACTATTTGAAACTATTTGTTTCACGACAACATACAATTCACATAAAATGGGTTAAATGTCGTCTTCCTTTTTCACAGTTATAAGGGACATTACCAACATCTAACAATAAAAGTTCTTATTAGACGATTATGTATAATTAAACCTTGCCAATGACTAAGTGTTCAAAATTTAGAATTTGATTCCCAATTTTTGCTGAAGGCCAAAATATCAAAAAATTATCCTTTGTAAAAACTACATAAAAAGAAATTTCCATTTTAACTTAAAGTTTAAATCTCTTAAATCCCTAAGTAAATTAATAATAAAAATCTAATCTTACAAAATTATTCACTTTTAAACTTAATGAAAAAATATTTAAAAAAACTAGACAATTGATTTGAAAGAATGATTATATTTTTTCAATATTTTTTTTATGTTTACTTTTGAGATAAACTGGAAATTTCCATTTTAACTTAAAGTTTAAATCTCTTAAATCCCTAAGTAAATTAATAATGAAAATCTAATCTTACAAAATTATTTACTTTTAAACTTAATGAAAAGATATAAAAAAAATCTAGAGAATTGAAAGAATGATTAGATTCTTTCAATATTTTAATGTATAAAGTATGAAAGTATGAAGCGTGGACGAATGAATGTGCTGCCAGATTATAGCACCTAGCAGATCATTACAAAGCCCATACAACACCAAAATTTCGAGAATCGATCACAACAACCCGATCATGTCCTGGGGACAAAAACATCCCTTTAAAAAAATAAGAATTGTCAATAGATGGACATTTCATAGATAGGACATTTCAAAGAAAAAGAAATTCACAGATAGGACATTTCATAGATAGAAAGACCATTTCATAGATAGGACTTTCCATCGACAGGAAATTTTATAGACAGAGTAGATTTTTCTTAGACAGGCATTTTCATGGACAGAGAAGAATTTACAGAGATATGTAATTTCAAAGAAGACATAAAAGCATTTTTTTTCTTAAAATGTGTAAAATGTAAAAAATGTGTCACAATTTTGGAAAATGTGATCAGTTTGAAGCTAACAAGAAATCAATAAATTACGCTGTCAGTTTAAAGCAAAAAAAAATGAATAATATGTGATGTGATAATCAGAGAGATCGTGGAGGGGTGTGATTTATTAGATAAGATTATTTAAAAAAAATTCTCTGTCTATGAATTGCCCTGTCTATAAAATATTCTGTATATGAAATGTTATGTCTATAAAATGTCTTCTATGAAATGTCCTACTTATGAAATATCCTACCTATGAAATGTCCTATCTACATAATGTCTTTCTATGAAATGACCCAACACCCCCTACAACTTTGCAATCTGAAGGTTTAAAACCCAGGACTGTGAAGATTACAAGAGGATGACAAAAATATTTCTCAATTTTTAAGTCTTCCATCAGTATTTTTCAAAACATTTTAATATTCGAAACAAAATTCAGTCGTAATATTGACTTAATTGTTTTCCAAGATCCAAGAATAAGAAAATAATATTAATTTCCAAAATGATGAACACTCCCTTGAGAACCCCTAATAAGCCTACCTAGAGTTTGTGTCGCCAGGTAGATCCATTCATGACCGGCAGCTAGGATCCAGGCCGGTAAACTGGGGACCAACATCTTCAAACTTTTCTTTAAAATCAAGCTTTTCTTTAAAATCATACTTTTCTTTAAAATCATACTTTTCTTTAAAATCAAACTTTTCTATATAGTCAAACTTTTCTTTAAAATAAAACTTTTCTTTAAAATCAAACTTTTCTTTAAATCGTACTTTTCTTTAAATCGTACTTTTCTTTAAAATCGTACTTTTCTTTAAAATCGTACTTTTCTTTAAAATCCTACTTTTCTTTAAAATCCTACGTTTCTTTGAAATCCTACTTTTCTTAAAAATCAAATTTTTCCTTAAAATCATATTTTTCCTTAAAATCATACTTTTCTTTAAAGTCATACTTTTCTTTCAAATAATATTTTTCCTTAAAATCATAATATTCTTTAAAATCATACTTTTCTTCAAAATTATATTTTTTATAAAATCATACTTTTCTTTAAACTCATACTTTTCTTTAAAATCAAACTTCTCTAAATAATCAAAATTATAAGATTATAAACACTACTATCAAAAACCACTATTTTTATTATTATTATAATGTCGAAATTTCTTATTATTCTGATGAGACAAAATTAATTTAAAAAAATGTTCTTCTTCATTTGAGAAATATAAGGTTTCTTGATTAAAAATAATCTTATGTAACACATTTAATTTTCTTCATAATTAAGTTTAAAATCAACTTTTCTTAAATACAAAATATTTAAGCAAACTTTTCATAGAATTTTAGATTAGTTTGTAACTAAATCTTTTTCACATTAATCATAAAATTCAAAACAAAATCTTCTTTTAAAAATTCATATATTTAGTTAAGAAATTAACCTCCCCACAAATCGAATTTACATAGCATTTTTATTTATTCAGTGCATTTAAACTTGGCCAACTTAAAAATTCACTTAAATGTTTTGTAACCCTGATTTGGAATAGTTAAAAACTTCTAACCGCTTATGTCAGTCTAGCTTCAGTTTTGAATGAGAATCATAATGAATATCGTGCACATATTTTCATTTACAAAAATAAAAAGTGTCAATAGTTTAGAAGCTTAAATGGATTGCCATCGTAATTTTGATTTTGTTTTTGAAAATTGTTTTGTTTTCTCTGCAAAAGTGGCTTCCGCAATTATTGCTCTAGGAATAAGGAAAATTTTTCAGGATTAAACAAATATCAAGCCAGAAAAAATATGTTATTTTCCAGATTTCAATCGAAAATTAAGACCCAAAAGGTATCATTGTGAACCAGACATGCCCCACTTTAAGTGGAGGTTGTGATTTAAACTTAATACAACAATGAATTTAAGCCTCGTCTCAAATCCCCAAAAACAGGTTTCAATTAACGCAGGCTTAAATCTTGAAAATTGGAATACAATCTAAAGTGGAACCAACCATATATGAGCCGCGGCTTAAATTTAAGCCGTGGCTCAAATTCTTTAAATTCGGCCTCAGTATCTTTAAATCTATCTATCTATCCACAGGCTCTGATAAGTAAGTTAGGGAAAATAAATATTAATTTTTTGATAAACATTCATAGCTAATCAAAACTTATCAATATAGTTTTTCTTACAAATATTAATAATACAAAAATAGATGAAAGTTTATCTTATAGATCTAATTATTTATCATTACTTTTCAACTATCAGCAAAATAATGTTAATTTACAGTTTTTAAATTATTATGTAGCTTTAATTCTAGATTTTCTATTCGTTAAAACCTTGCTCGGTTTGAACGGACATTGTCCAGTGTACAAGATGTTTGTACAGTTCGGTAAAACAGAAAATCCGGTTCTTGTTCCAAACCAAGTTTTCAGTTTCAAAACTCATTAAGTTTTAAAACCGATTTTCCAGTTCGTTTAAAAAACAAACAGATTTTCCAGTTCGTTTAAAAAAAACAGATTTTCCAGTTCGTTTCAAACCCGGTTTTCCAGATGGTTTCAAACAAGGTTTCTGTTAGTTACTAAACTAGTTTTCCAGATTGTTTCAAATACAGTTTTCCAGTTAAAACAAACACCGGGTTTTCCAGTTCGTTTCAAACCCGGTTGGCGGTTTGTCAGGTACATGTACTTTATTGGTAACAAGACTGGTTCATGTACTGTTCGTTAAAAAACCGGTTTGTTCATAACAACGCCGCGGTGTTAACAAAAATTGTACAAGTATTCCAGTGTACAGTATAAACCTGTCCTAATATTCCAGTGCACAGTTTACACCTGTCCTAGTATTCCAGTATACAGTTTACACCTGTCCTAGTATTCCAGTGTACAGTTTACACCTGTCCTAGTATTCCAGTGTACAGTTTAAACCTGTCCTAGTATTCCAGTATACAGTTTACACCTGCCCTAGTATTCCAGTGTACAGTTAACACCTGTCCTAGTATTCCATTGTACGGTTTACATCTGTCCTAGTATTCCAGTATACAGTTTAAACCTGTCCTAGTATTCCAGTGTACAGTTTAAACGTGTCCTAGTATTCCAGTGTACAGTTTACACCTGTCCAAGTATTCCAGTGTACAGTTTAAACCTGTCCTAGTATTCCAGTGTACAGTTTACACCTGTCCTAGTATTCCAGTGTACAGTTTAAACGTGTTTAAGTATTCAAGTGTAAAGTTTAAACCTGTTCAAGTATTCCAGTGTGCAGTCAACACCTGTCCTAGTATTCCAGTGTACAGTCAACACCTTCCTAATATTCCAGTGTACAGTTTAAACCTGTTTAGGTATTCCAGTGTACAGTTTAAACCTGTTTAAGCCTGCAGTTTTAACTGGATTAAAGGAAAGTATTGTATAATCGATCCGGGAATACTTTGCAGTTAAACATAGTGTCCTCCTCCCCCTTACCTCTGTCACCCCCCCCCCATTTTATCAATTTTGATCTACCTTTCCCCTTTTCCTTTCATCTCCCCCATGTCAATTATTTCCATTTGCTGTAAGTTATGTTGTTAATTCTTTTCAATGTGTTTGGACATTATTGTCTTCTTGTCGTCTTGTCCTCTTGTCCTCTTGTCTTCTTGTCCTCTTGTCGTCTTGTCCTCTTGTCGTCTTGTCTTCTTGTCGTCTTGTCCTCTTGTCGTCTTGTCCTCTTGTCGTCTTGTCGTCTTGTCGTCTTGTCCTCTTGTCGTCTTGTCTTCAATATAATTTACTAATGTAGCTGCAATTTTAATCCCATTTCAGTCTGAAGTTTTAAAAGAGTTTATCTTAAATCCAACCCTCAGAGCCCCTTTTCCCATCACATTCAATTTAAACAAGGATTCCGACAGATTTCAGTCAAATAGTTCAAAATAATTTTCAAGTATTGAAATTAAACAACTTTATGGAATCATATTGAATTAAACAGATATTAAGATTACAAATAATGAAGTACACGCCCAATGTGTATACTGTGTATACTGTAGATACCGTAAAGCTTATGATTTTCACCTTTCTATCATCTACCCTTCGTAACGTTTGCCTTCGTTCTATCCGCCCCCTCTTCCTTTATACACACCTTTACTTTATTCTCCCCCTTCCTTCACCCACCCCTCCTTTGCTACCCTACCTCCTTCATCCGCCCCTCGTTCTTTATTTACCCCCTTTTCCTTTCTCCGCCCCTCTTTCTTTATCCATCCCCTCTTCCTTTATCCGCCTCCTCTTCTTTCATACTCTCCTCTTCCTTTATCCGCCCTCTTCCTTTATCCGCCCCTTCGTCTTTCATACTTCCCCTTCCTTTAACCGCCCCTCTTCCTTTAACCGACCCTCTTCCTTTATCCTCCCCCTTCTCTTTTATACACTCCTCTTCCTTTCTCCGCCCCTCTTCCTTTATCCGCCCTCTCTTCCTTTATCCGCCCTCTCTTCCTTTATCCGCCCTCTCTTCCTTTATCCGCTCTCTTCCTTCATCCGCCCTCTTCCTTTATCCGCCCCCTCCTCTTTTATACACTCCTCTTCCTTTCTCCGCCCCTCTTCCTTTATCCGCCCTCTCTTCCTTTATCCGCCCTCTGTTCGCCCTCTGTTCCTTTATTCGCCTTCTTCCTTTATCCACCCTCTTCCTTTCTCAGCCCCTCTTCCTTTATCCACCCTCTTCCTTTATCCGCCCTCTCTTCTTTTATCCGCCCCCTGTTCCTGTATATTTTAAGCACTCGCAAATGTAGTTCAATGATAAGGATCTGACTTGCGCAAATTTTATTTTTGGCAAATCCTTTGATGAAAGCAGATTTTCTCAAGTCGTGAATTCAAGTAAATTTTAAAAACCTTTCATTACTTTACTTTCTACATCTGTAATATATTCATAGAAATAAAAAATACCTATTGTTTAAAGTAAATGACAGCAAAACTATGGTTCATTTTGTTTTATAAATTTTTGCAAATAGTTTTTTATTTTTTTGCAAGGATAGATTTATAAAAATTAAATGCAAATTACGTCAGTGCTGCATTAAAACTATTATAATTTTAAAATTAAACCTTTTTTAAAATTTTCTCCAAATGATATTTTTTCTTTTAATTTTCATGCTTGACAATGAAAATTTAAAATTTAAATAAAGACTATTGAAGATATTTTAACCTGACAGCTAAGGCCACCCATACTGAGAAATTAACTGAAAAAAAATAAATTATTAAGCAACAAACACAATGAAAATTAAGTAAAATGACAACCCGCGTTGTGAAGTTCAACAAAAATTCGCCATTTTTATCTCAAAATGAACACAATAAATGTTACACAATACAGGTTACACATAAAAAATTACACAATGTATGTTACACAATCAATGTTCCAAAATGAATGTTACACAATGAGTGTTACACAACACACAATGAATGTTCCACAAAGAATGTTACACAATGAGTGTTACACAATGAATGTTCCACAATGAATATTCCACAATGAATGATACAAAATGAATATTACACAATGAATATTTCACAATGAACATTACACAAGGAATATTACACAATGAATGTTATACAATGAAAGTTGCACAATGAATGTTACATAATGAATGTTACACAATGAACACAATGAATGTTACACAATGAATGTTACTCAATAAACACAATGAATGTTACACAATGAAAGTGAAACATACTCATAGAAAGTAAGAAATGGATGTTTCACAATGAAAGTTACACAACTAACAAAATGAATGTCACACAATGAATGTTACACAATGAATGTCACACAATGAATGTCACACAATGAATGTTACACAATGAATGTTACACAATGAAAGTGAAACATTCACAAAGAAGGTAAGAAAAGGATGTTTCACAATGAAAGTTACACAATTAACACAATGAATATTAAACAATGAATATTACACAATGAATATTGCACAATGAATGTTACACAATAAATGTTGCACAATGAATGTTACACAGTGAAAGTTACATAATTAAAACAATGAATGTTATACAATGAAAGTTACACAATTAAAACAATGAATGTTACCCAATGAAAGTTAAACATTCACAAAGAAAGTAAGAAATGGATGCTATGCATGTAGCAAATAATGAGACCCATTGTAAAATTACGTACAATGTTTATATAGTAGTTCCGCAAATCCTATATTCGATTAACCCATTCCATGTACGTATATTTTTATATATATGTATAACTCCGTCATAACAATATTGTGATTGTTAACTACGTCATCTATAACAGCGCATAATTACGCTGTTATTAACCCAATTCTAAGCTGAACTAAAGAAATAAACCTCAGTTTATAGAGTAACTCCGTACTCATTACTGCAAGAGAGTAATCTGAAATCCTGCTTAATAAAACCGGTGGAATCTTCCCCATTATTTGGGATCGATATATTTAGCTTATTGATAGCTAGGCTTGTGTCCTTGTGTGGCATTTAGAGTGGATCATCCCCCTCATTTGGGATCGATATATAGCTTATTAAAAAGCTAGGCTTGTGTCCCTGATTGACATTTAGAGCACTGAATTGATAGCTTATTGGATAGCTACGCTTGTGTCCCTGTGTAGCATTCAGAGCCAGATGGGTTGTGTCCTGGTTGACTTTGATAGCGGACGGGTTGGGCCTGGATAGATACGTTTCGAGAATATTGTTATGGAGTAGGAGTTTACTACAGACATACAGTATATATTAAACAAAAAATGTTATAAAAAATAAGGAATAAATTGGGGGAAAATATTTATATAACACAAATAAAATTTTGTAATGAAATTATAAAATAAAAGGTTAATGAGATTCAAGCTTTTAACTTTGTGAAACCATAAAAAATGAAATACTTAACACTGAAAAAATATATTCTTTCCCTTTTTGCGAACTTGATTTATATTCAATTGGTTTAAATACTGTAAGAGAATAACAAAACTTTATAAATTCTAGTTTCTATATTCAAAAATAAAACTGCTCAATTATCCTTCTTTTTTATTTATTGACTATTGTGTGATTCTTTATTTGGTTGGAGTAAATTGAAGTTCAAAGTTCTGGTCTCAAATAAACAAGTTGAAAACATAGATGATATTTTATTAATCTTGAACCTGACACAAAATAATTGCGTGGCATGAGCTCTGATTGGCTGAGGGGTTCAAAAAGAAGGGGAGAAATTTCACCATGGAGTAATTATATGTCGTTCAGTGGGGGAAAAGCGGAAGTTTTATAATTAGAAAAGAAGGGGACGTATCTCACCCCTCAGTAATTATGAACAATTAAATTCATTCAGGAATTTGCTAGAACATGGATAGTGAATACATACAATACTATCCAAAATGATTTTTTCGGGAAAACCCTTTTGATAATTTATGAGGAGGTAAACTTTAAAAAAAATAGACCCAGGGTTAATTAATAAAAAATTAAGTTAAAAAGTAAAATGAAAGGAAAAGAAAAGAAAAGAAATGAAAGGAAAGGAAAGGAAAAGAAAAGAAATGAGAGAAAGGGAAAATGAAAGAAAAGAAATGAAAGAAAGGGAAAGTAAAAATAAGAAATGAAAGGAAAGGAAAGAAAAAGAAAAGAAATGAAAGGAAGGGAAAGAAAAAGAAAAGAAAAGAAATGAAAGGAAGGAAAAGAAAAGAAATGATAGAAAGGGAAAATAAAAGAAAAGAAATGAAAGGAAGGGAAAGTGAAAGAAAACAAAAGAAAGGAACGGAAAGTAAAAGAAAAGAAATGAAAGGAAGGGAAGATAAATGAAAATAAATGAAAGGAAGGGAAGGGAAAGAACAAGAAAAGAAATGAAAGGAAGGGAAAGTAAAAGAAAAGAAATGAAAGAAAGGAAAAGGAAAAGAAATGAAAGGAAGGGAAAGGAAAATAAATGAAAGGAAGGGAAAGTGAAAGAAAAGAAATGAAAGGAAGGGAAAGGAAAATAAATGAAAGGAAGGGAAAGAAAAAGAATAAAAGGAAGGGAAAGGAAAGGAAAAGAAATGAAAGGAAGGGAAAGTAAAAGAAAAGAAATAAAAGGAAGGGAAAGGAAAAAAAATGAAAGGAATGGAAAGTAAAAGAAAAGAAATGAAAGGAAGGGAAAGGAAAGGAAAAGAAATGAAAGGAAGGGAAAGGAAAAGAAATGAAAGGAAGGGAAAGTAAAAGAAAAGAAATGAAAGGAAGGGAAAGTAAAAGAAAAGAAATGAAAGGAAGGGAAAGGAAAAGAACAGATAGTAGAGCGAAAAAAAGTTCAGAAAAGGGAAGGAGAGAAAGGAAACGAAAGATAACTGATACTGAAGGAAGAATCGAAAGTAAAGAAGGACACATAAATGATGGAAAGGGAAAAGAGAAGAGAGGAAAGTTTAAGAAGAAGATTTAGAGGAAAAACTGGTATCAGAAGAGAGTATAAGAAAGAAAAAATTTGGTAAAAATTAAAGGATATCTTTAAAACTTTATCTCTATCAAAGATTTAAAGGGCACAGTAGTGAAAAAGGTAAATTTTTAAAAAGAGGACAAACGGTCCCTTTAAAATATTCAAATTTTTGGATCTAAAACCTGAAAATCGAACCAGCTTTATTAAACCTTGATGCAACACCTATCAATGAAAGACAGGTTCAATGTTACGAGTCATCGAGGAATAATTACGTTGGTTCAGGGCGCGTCACAAAAAATGTTTTTCGTTTTTTAACAAAAATTCTAAACTTTCCCTTTAAACCAAACAAATAAAACAAAAATAGGGATAAAGTATACAGTTTACACCCATACAACCTAACTGTCTGATGAAGAAAGAATAATAAATAAATGCATGTTTTTCTCTTTAAAAATTGATTAGTTTTCATTGTTGTTTTCCTTCTAGGATTTCATTGAAAACTCATAACATATTCCAACTTTTTTAATCCTAGGACCAGAGCTAAGCAAACCCGGGTTATTTAACAAAATTCGTCTTTAAAAGTAGTATTTTTCATTGTGTTCATCCTGTCTCTCGAATTTTGATGAGTTGCTATGTGTCATGCGTCCACAACCTTTGATTTCTCGTCAATTCTTATCAAAACTATTAAATATAGTTTAGATAGTTTAGCAAACAATAAATTCAAGATAGTAAACTTTGTCTGTTCAATGTGCATGCTAGTCTGAGCTGTACATTTGAGCATATCTTGATAAATTACGCTGTACAATGTCTATAAACCTTAATGCGTTTATCATGAAAGGCAAAACTTGAAATACGATTAGGCTAGCTACGTATTGTAATCAGCTTAACTACCATGATATATATATGTGCGAATCCTGTAAATACGTATATTAACTAAACATATATTTGTAAATATGTAGTAAATGACTACTCCAGTTTCTGGTAACGTAATGTAATGAGTATTGACTATCAATCTCAACACACAGATACAATCTCGTAAGTCGTAATTATCGATGCCAGGGGCGTGCGAGAGACGTACGCCCCTGATCTATGGCAAATCAAAAGGGGAGGATCCTCAACCTGTTTATCAAAACAGGGAACCACACAAATCCGTGCAGATCTATCAAGGCCACTAGTTCCGATTTCTTAAAATAAAATCTACGCAAACGTATATAGACCCCTAACAGGAAACTCGAGAGTTTCGTTCAACGATATTCTCTTAAATTTTGTACTCAGGCATTGCAGTACAGTTAGATTTAAATGTATGCAAAAAACCCCATAATATTTGTTTACATATTTAGTGCATCAGAAACTACATTTCATCATTTCAGGCCTTTTTATAAGAAAATTTATGGAATTTCAAATAATTTGTTCTTGCTTTCATTTCACAATTATAAAATTAAAAAAAGGTTTTTTAATATTTTTAGCACTGGGATGAATACTAACTGATAAGACACAATACGGATTGTCCACCATTACTTCAAATAATGGGGTGGCAGTCCTTAAATAATGGGGGATTGGCCCCCCCCCCCCCGCTCTAGATCCATATCTGTTAAACCCCTGAGTAGAGTTTAAAGGGAAAAGGAAGGATCGATGAAGCACCGATGAAAGCAACCGATTTATAAACATTCATAATATATCGAGTAAAAGTGTATAGGAAGTAACCCCCCCCCCACCCCCGGGGCCGGCGTCACCCAACATAGCAGCTGTAATGTGGGTAGGATGTATAATAAGCAAACACATATGGAAAGTCAGCTGACATTTATTATCTATCTATCCGACAAAACTCCCCCGCCCCCCCACAAGCCCCCGCGGCATGACAAAGTGTTAATATAAACTGTATATTATTAGATATATACCTGTGTAAAAAGTTCCAAGAATAAAAACTACCAGAGTTAAACCTTTTAACATTTTAACTACTTCACTGATGTCTGCAGTTTTAACTTTCTCAACTCACACACACTTCCATTCACAGACACACTAGCACTACTACAGCGCTTTCACGTTCTATTCAAACTGCAAACGATAAATAGTTGAGGGCCATCCATTTATAGTTTATTACAATTAAAACAGGGCTATTCACACAACAGCAATTAAAATTGTAAGTCATAATATTAGCCTTAACCCGTAAATTGACTAAGTTTCAATAAAATTAATATAATGTAAGGCTCATGATAAAAAATATTAAATTCCATTTACAGAAATGCCAATAAATTAATAATAATGATGCTAATGCATTATAACAATAATACGAATAAACCTCTCTCCAATGGATTCTCGTAAAGCTACGTTTATGTTTTTATTTTGTCAGTGTAAACACACCTTTTGAATGACATTGCACCATTGTATAAGAAATCATTGTATGGTATCATCATGGTACCACCATCTCAGGGATTTATACAGTCTGGTCTGATAATCCAATAATGATAATCTGGTCTGATAATCCAACAAAGCTTTGATTTCACCTTTTAAACAAAGCTATTTCGCATTTACTTTTTATCTCTATAGCATAAATCTTTTGCCTTTTTTATACTTTTTTGTTGGCAAAACGCGATTGAATTCAAATATAAGAAACCGAACTCATCTCGCCCTGAGCTAGTCCAGGGTGACATAGATCCCATCATGTTATGGCGTGATAAAGTAATTGGCATCAAGATTGGAGAAATGGTCGAAAAATAAATTAGTGTAAGTTGTTATGTAGCAAATATTGTGAAAAAATGATATTCTGTAAACCTGCAGTACATTGTACATTATTAACAATTTATGTTGTAGACCTATACATAATGGCATTATTCATGGAAACTCCGTTTCAATTGAATACATAGCATCATTAGATTAAATCATGTGATATACTTAAATTACGCTATAAACATGTGTGGAGATAGCTTAACTACGTTATAACTATTCTCTGATTTCTGAGAATTTCTCAGGAGTTCCCCCAAAAATCTATAAAATAGTCCTGATATTTTTTTGAGAATTTTCGGAGAAATATTCCTCAGAATTTCTCGAGACTATGTCTCTTATGCAGTTACCCAAAAAAATCCGCAAAATTAGTGACCAAGTCCTGAGAATTTCTCAGGAATTTCCAGGGAAATATTCTTAGGAATTTCTTGGAAATTTATTTTAACAAAATCTTGTTCTCAGTTCCCCCAACAATTTTCAGGAATTTCTCACAACTATGAACTCCAAAAAATCTCTATAATTGTGGACAAATTTTAGGGAATTTCTCGAGAATTTCCGAGGAATCTTTCACAAGAACTTTTTCTCGAGAAATTCCGCAGAAATTCTTCAAAGCAAGTTATTAAAACAGGAAAACTCGGGGAAACTCCTCACTTTTGTTACCTGAGTACATTTATATACATTCATTGTATTTGTAAGTTGTAATTGTACAATTACATTTACATACATGCATTGTATTTGTAAGTTGTTTATTGCATGAATTGTATATTTCATTTTGTGTATATTGTAATTTGTTCAATGACAATTACAGGCTTGGTAAATTGATTACATATTAATTAATAAAAAATAATATATATTGCAAATTATATAAATACAACATTGTACAATTTTGTACTTATGTAAGTTGTCAATTGCGAATTTATTGCATTTATATTTTGTTATTTATAATGTATAGAATGTAAAATAACAAAATAAAAGGTTAATTATAAACATTACGTAATTTTTTAAGAAAACCATTGCAGCCCCCCCCCTCCATCTCATTACTAAATATAAAAGATGAAAGTTTTGTAAATAATGAAACAGGTTTTTCGAACAGTATAATTTTTTGTAATTCCCCTAAAACCAATAAATCCGGCTCACTGTGCGCTATTTAGATAGAATTGGAGAATTGAGAATTTTAATAATATGAGTTTTTATTTCCATGCAAAAAATCTTTACTAAAATTTTAATGTTAGCTTATTTAGTCACATTTTTCACATTTAAAAATTAGATTTCCTTCGAAGTATGTTTCATTCAATTGGCAAATGAAATTTAAAACCTCATTGTCTCAGGCTGTATCATAAAAAAAATTCTGAAAAATCATAGGAACTGAGTTTTGTCACAAACTCTGATTTTCTAATCTCTATATCTTTGCAACCCAATGCCGTAGACCTTAGATATTTCAAACCATGCATTCTGTTAGATGAAAGAATGTAAGTTTGAAATATCAAAGGTTTCAGCCAGATCAGGTGGAAAATATATAGTTTCTAGAAAATCAGAGTTTGTTACAAAGACTCAAAAGTTTGAAATGAAAAAAAGGCCCGGTTGTAAATCCAACTATATATCAAAGGTTTAAACCATCAGACTTTGTTACAAAAACTCAATTTCTTTGTCTTTCCTTCATCATGGTCATCAAAAGTTTGAAATGAAAAAAAATCGAAATTTTGTTTTTAAAAAGTCCTGTCGTAAAACTCTATTTGTAAAAGATATTTTTGAGTAAATCTTAGTTTGAAATATCAAAGGTTTCAGCCAGATCAGGTGGAAAATATATAGTTTCTAGAAAATCAGAGTTTGTTACAAAGACTCAAAAGTTTGAAATGAAAAAAAGGCCCGCCGTAAATCCAAATTGAAAAAAATATTTTTGAATAAAATTCGGGCAACAGATTCCTTAAACTTTTCTGCAGATGATGTCCATGGTTTGAAAGTCAAAATAGTGCTACTTAGTGTCCTAAAAGAAATTGTTACAAAGACTCAGTAATTCTTTATGCGACAGCACTGGTACGACTTTGGAACCTCGTAGCTCCTCTAGAGTTGATTTTATGAACAAGTGCTAGACCAGCAAGTTTACCTGGTTCTATTAGAAAGAAATTGAGTTTTCTCCATAAACTTAAATTTGCAAATTCCTATATCTTTGCAACCTGATGGTGCAGGTTTGTAAAATCTCAAACTTAGATTATTTGGTTTAACAGAATTGACAGTTTGAAATATCTAATGTCTAAATTGGGTTGCAAAGAGAAAGTAACTTTAGAAAATCATAGTTTTTGGAAAAGACTCAATTCCTTTGAAACATATTTCTTCTCCATTGCTCTTCAATAATAGGAATTACTTGATTAAAAAAATGTAAGATTTCAATCAATTTAGTTTAATGTGAATAAATCATCAAAAAACACAATTTCTCTTTACAGGTTGGGGATTCTACAAGAGGACCTATTCTGACCTAACTAATAGCAATTTTACTTATTTTTTATTTTGTTTCAAAACAATCTTTAGAATTCAACTTCAATGTTTTTCAACTTTTTTTTAGGAAAAACATCTGAAGAGAAATATAGTCTCTGTTTCAAATAAGAAACTAATATAAAACATCTTGAAAACTAGGGCAGTGTTTTTTGGACAAAAAAAAAATATATAAAAAAAACACTTTTATTTCTTAAAAAAGGATTTTTCAAATGAAGTTTTTGAATACTGTAATTTGGGTAAAATACTTAATATTTCCGTAAAATTTTCATTTATGAATAAGCATTCCTTATTTGGTATATGACTTACTCCCAATTTACTAGGGATTTTTGGGCAAATTATTTCAAAAATATCTAAATTCAATTTATATCTTGAGAAAAAAAATACCAAAAAGTCGTCATCAAGACGTTTTTATGTTAACTTTTTATGAGATGCACGCCATTTTTACTGACAAATGGAAAACTTTTATGTTTTTCCAATTATGAAAATAAAATCTAATTTTTGTATATATTTTCATTTCTTTATCACAGCTAAAAATGTAGATAAACTAAATTATATTGGCGTTATCTTTAGCTTTAAATAGATAAGTGAAAATAAATATTTTTTATTTTTATTCATTTTAATTACATCTATACTGAGCTGGGAACTTTAGAATAGGATACCTTTGATCCCGACTGCTTAATCCTAATATCCAATGTGGACACTTTTAATTTCTTGCTTAATCCACTCTTTTTTGAATATAGAACAGAAAAATCAAAAACCGGTTTTTCAAAATTATAGAGCTCCTCCCGTTTTTGTATACGGGACTCTGATTGGTTGAATTTTATACAGTTTTCAGGAAACAAGTACAAGATTAGGTTAGTCTCGAGATTAAGAAAAAGAGAGGATCAAGCATCGATCTCGATATCCACCATTCAAAAGTTCCCAGCTCTGTACTCTTAACCCCAAGGCCCATAAAAGACGAAACAGAAAAATATCAGGACTGTTGCGCATTTTGCGTTTTGGGTTCGTCTTTCCTGAAAAAATCGTACAGCTGGTCGTCTCAAAGTCCTATTCTTTCCCTATGTCTGAAAATAATTTAAATCTTAATCGACATTATTTCAAAAGTATGTTATAAAGCAAAATTTGTTGGTTTTTGTAAATTGTTTTCTCGAACTCATCTTTACTTTTAAAATGCTCTTCAATCTCATCGTCTAAAATGTCGAATTTATTTTGTGTAGAGTTCACAATTCGAGAGTTTGGACTTACTCCTGTACTTAGTGATTCTGGAGAAATTCTGATAAACCTGGGCTGCAAGAAAATTAATCAAACCCTTTAAATTTTTCGCGGAATTCCGCGGTAATCTGTTCCGCATAAAAATTCGGAATTTACGCGGAAACTTTTAAAAAACTGCGAAATATTTTTGTTTAAATTATTTTTTTTGCACGCAAATTTGCACATTTTTCTTAAAATTTGTTTCTGCTGGAAACGTTATTGCTAACTGTTTTCTCAAGTTTGGAAAACTAACTACTTCGTTGTAAGTTTAATGTTTTTATTTCACTTTACTATTTGAGTAGTCATTAGAATCATATCCTGTTTATTATATTTTATATTTGTCCACAGAAAATATGAAATGTTTGAAGAAAAAAATTTATATTTTATTTTTAATTTTACTGTGCGTATCTTTAAATATATTTGTAGATTGGATCAAACCATTGAGACTTTTGAATGAATGTTTGATAAATATCTTTAGTCCTGGATTAAGAAATTTTTAGGAAAAGAAAATATTTGAAAAATGTAATAAAAAATATATGGATTTTGAATACAATCTATACATATACTTTGCCTGTCTGTCTGTTTTTTTGTATCCAAAAAATGTCAAAACGACTGAACCGATCGGGCACTATTTTGTACGGAACCTTCACATGACCCAAGGAAGGTTAATGGATGATCAAAATTTGAAAAATTCAACAAAATTCGATAGCCATTAAATTTTGAAAATCCGCAATCTTTTTTTGGTTTAGTTTTACAATGTATACAATGAGAAATAGAAAGTGAAAAAAATAATTTTTTTCATCAATATTTTTTTAATCGAAAAATTCATATTTTTAAACAAATATAAGTGTTGTAATGTGTATTTATATAGACCGTAATCCCTAAATTGCGACTTTTGAATAAATGTTTGATAAAAACTAATAAATTTACAATTTAGATTTTCTCCGTGAATTTCATCATATACAAAAAAATAATGATTTGAAAAAAGTATTAACAAGTCAGTTTATCCAAATTAACAAGTCAGTTTATCCAAATTTCCAAACTTCCGAAACAAATTTTTCTTCAATTAACTTCAAGAAATCATTAAAGCGCATACGACCGGAAACTCAAATTTTGACGCATAAATGTATAGTTTGTTTTTCTTATCTTTCTGTGAAATTATTTTCTTGTATTTTGTTTAGTTTTCATAAAACAACCAACAAAATCGAAATAATATGAAGTATAATCGTTGTACTTACCAAACAAATAATACTATTTATCTACCTAATTATGTCTTTTTAGAGTCAACTGCGTTGTACAAGATTTTTTACCCCCTCCCACCCCCCTATACCATGAACAACCCCATTGAGGATGTATATCTAATATGGGTTTTTGGGTTTAATAACAATTTCCCAATCATTTCTGGGATTACCAAACTCTATCAAATAAAAGACTTCTATTACTTCTTTTTAGCTTTCACCTTTCTTAAATTCCTAAAGGTTGTCCACTATAAATTTAGACTTTTTAAACAGCTTCCAAAATAGCAAATCCACCAATATGAAAAATCAGCCACCTGTGCCCTGGGAACAAAGTAGTTGAAGTGTTTTGAAGAAGAAGATTAAGGAAATGAAAGATAGAGGAGTGGATGAAAATGCGTTTTCCTAGGTTCTACATCAAAAACTACCATGCCAATTATAATTCAAATTTTCCCATGAAAGTTAAAGGCCTTACTGGAAAAAATAATTTATATACAAGAATATTGCACAGAGACTGCCTTTGTAGTTTGCGTTTCTCATTGGTCATAAGTCAAAATTCAATCAGCCAGCGTAAATTTTAAACTGATGAGTAAGAGCGTTTTTTCTAAAGTCTCTTTTTATAGTGGACACGTTTAAAATACCTTCACTAATTACATTGAATATATTTATTCTGTAAAACAACTGGATTTATTTCAATCATTGAATTTTATTCCCCCCCCCCCGGAAGAGTTTTACACCTAATTTGACAGAAAGTGCAAGTACGTTACTCCATTCAAAAAATCGATAATTGGTCAATTTATCTGTTTTCCTTTGTTTAAGTTGGTTGAGTAAAGATATCTGCGCGAAGCGCCGACAAATCAAAATCATGGAGATGGAGAATGGAGATCAAGATTCTATACGGGGATATTTATGTTCGGGGGGGGGGGGGGGCTTACCACCAATAACCCCCCTAGTTACGCTCCTACTCCCACGGTTCGGATGTAGATATTTATATATTTTCATTTTCTGGGTGTTTGTTTGTAGCAAAAAATAGAAGCTCATAGTAAATTACGTCGTACATTGCTTATATTGCTAAATGTGTCACCAGTAAATACATAAATCCTGTATTGCGATTAACCCATTCAATGTACCTAGATCTATATATAACTTCGTTATACCCATATTGTGATAGTTTAACTACGGGATCGATTTATAGCTTGTTTGATAGCTAGGCTTGTGTCCCTGTATGACATTTAGAGCATCGGATCATACCAATCATTTAGGATCAATATATAGCTTGTTTGATAGCTAGGCTTGTGTCCCTGTGTGCCATTTAGAGCACTGGATCATCCCCATCATTTGGGATCGATATATAGCTTGTTTGATAGCAGGCTTGTGTCCCTGTGTGGCATTTAGAGCACTGGATAAATAGTTTGTTTGATAGCTATGCTTGTGTCTCTGTGTGGCATTTAGAACCTGGATTAATAGCTTGGTGGGATAGCTACCGAGATCGCGCCCAGTGGTAGTGGCATTGATAGTTCGCGGGATTGTAGCCATGTGGAATAACTGTGGATTGTGTCCTGGATGACTTTGATAACAGAATGGTTGTACCTGGATAGATACGTTTTGAGCACTTGTTATGGAGTAGGGCCTTACTTCATGTTTAAAACAGATAAACAGATCGTCCCAAATCATTTTAAGCAACTTACATAACTCCATTTAAATTCATCATTTTGAAAATGCCCCAATATAAACAGAAATTAGATATGAATAAACAAACAAACGTAGACAATAGTCAAATATAATTTTATTTGTAACTTTAAATAACATAACCCTAGAAGTGGTTTAGGGCTACCTCAGGATTTAAAGATATATATCAGCAAATTTCCCATTTTTCTAAAAATTGAAAGTTGGCCAATAAAATCTGGAAAATGTTCGACATTTATTGTTGTTTATATAATACACAATGGAAAATGAAGCTTAAACCCCTCTAAAAGGTTTTATACAAAGTGTTCAGATTAAAAAAGAAACACGAAGGTAAAAAATTAAGACTAAAGGAATAGAGTTTTTGCCATAAACTTTGATTTTCTAATTTTAATATTGTTGAAATCCAATGTCGTAGACCTTTAATATTTCAAACTATGAATGCTATTAGATCAAATAATGTAAATTTGAAATATCAAAGATTTACATCATAAGGCTGCAAAGACTCAATTCCTTTATAACATTTTTCAAATATTTCTATTTTTTTAAAACTTCAATTTAGGTGTTGTTTCTTATTGAATATACTGATAAAGTTTTGCACTATTTACAATTTCGGATTGTTCCTGAAAAAAATGCACTTTGAAAATTCATATTTTTGGGAATTGCCAAATATTGAAATAGTTTCTCTCAAACTCCAGGTTTCAGTTAATTATCCATTTTTTCGTTGTTGTGGGCATTTTATTCCAAAGTTGAAGATGATAAAAAAACAAGATCTTGTTACATTTTTATTATATTTGTAAACAACTAAAAATATTTTGAATATGATCAAATTCATTGAGTTGTTGTCACTATAAAAGACATTTTTTAACATATAATTGATTTAAACAGTTATATTAATTTAAATGTTCAGACACATTAAGTTCACTTTCAGTTTTTCCATGTTTAAAAAAGAAAATATTTTTATTATTTGATTTACTAATGTTTATCTTTTGTACAATGTACGTACATTTTAAATACATTTTTTGGATGAAGACAATTTTCTGACTTAAAGATACAGATAAAGGTTTTAAAGGGATATGGGCATACTCATTGCCTATTGCCCCGCCCCTTCTAAACGAAAGTTCACTGCAAATAACAAGAACAGTCCCTTTATGAATTTTTCTAATTAAATTGTTTTGAATAAAATAAAATGTTCTATTCCTTTAGAGTTTTTTTTTGAAAAATAATCAGAGTTTTGTGGTATTTTAGGATATGTGTAGGGGAAGGAGGAATGGGGAAGGTAAGGATGGGAGCTGGAAAGGGTAAAGATTAGAAAAAACAAAGTAAGGAAAGCGCATCAATTCATTCAGTCTATATTTTGTGTACTGAACATGCTGGGTCCACAGTACATGTGGTACAATATACTGGCCGGTTCCAGTCAATGCATAATGTACGGGTACACTAGACCTGCTGTTACTAGTGTAAATGCATAAAGTTCGGGTACACTAGCCTGGATGATACCAGTAAATGCATGAAGTACGGGTACACTATTATTGGCTGGTACCTGTCAATGCATAAAGTAGAGGTACACTAGACTGGCCGTTACCAGTAAAGGCATAAAGTACAGGTACACTAGACTGGCCGGTACCAGTCAATGCATAAAGTACAGGTACACTAGACTGGCCGGTACCAGTCAATGCATAAAGTACAGGTACACTAGACTGGCCGGTACCAGTCCATGCATAAACTACGGGCACACTAGACTGGCCACATAGATTCAGCCTCCTTATAAACAGTCTCATCAATTTTTAAGACAGGGCTGACTTTGAAGTGTCGCAACGCCCTAAGTTTAAATTTTACCGCTCTAACTCACTTATGCTTTTCTGTAGCCCTTTACATGTACATTTTAGCACTGTAAAGCACTTGTTGTTAGATGTGGTTTTTTAGAAGTTATTGGCAAAATTCTCAACGATTTTTGCTTGAGAGCGTGAGACCATTAAATCGCAGTGTGGCCGGTACCAGTCAATGCATGAAGTACAGGTACACTAGACTGGCCGGTACCAGTCAATGCATAAACTACGGGCACACTAGACTGGCCAGTACCAGTAAATGCATAAAGTATAAGTTCACTAGACCTGCCCAGTAAATGCGTAAAGTTTGGGTACACTATTCTGGCTGGTACTAATAAATGAAAAAAAACAAGGGTAAACTAGACCTGCAGGTACCAGTAAATGCGTAAAGTGCGGGTACACTAGACTGGCTGGTACCATTTAATGCATAAATTACGGGTACAATTGACTGGCTGGTACCAGTAAAGAATAAATCACGGGTACACTAGACCTGCCGGTATCAGTAAATGCATAAAGCACGGGCCCTGGGTAAGGGAAAATGGAAGGGGTTCAAGGATGGAAATGGAGAAAAGAAAATGGGTAGGGGAGAATAGCAAGGATTAAATCAATGTGGGTGGGGACTGGGGAGGCAACAAGTGATGGGAGGAGGGACAAGGTTTCATGGTTATGGGAAGAGAATTTTTTTCTCACTACAATAGTGGATTAAATCCCTTTAATAATTGATCAATTATGGGAAATAAAATAAGATTTTATCCGGTTTTTTCAAACCAAGGTGAAAACCACAGAGTTGAACTACAGGATAAGAGATAGACATTGAAGACACTTTTATTAATTATAGATTTTTTATCTTGATAACTTGGCACATTCATAAATACATTCACCGTACTGAAAGATAAAAGATCAAGGATCAAAGATCAAGGATCAAAGATCAAGGATCAAAGATCAAGAATCAAAGATCAAGGATCAAAGACCTGGGGTTCTATTATCTGGTACTGTTGGAGCGAAATGATGACAGCAAACTTAGTTTCTTTCTAAAATAAAAAATATTAAAATAAAGATAATTATGAACTTTAGACTTGAGTTTAATGACCATTATTCAGTTAAGTTTGATATCTGCCTTACAATTTACAAGACAAATAAGGAAATTGACAGAATTGATCAAAAGGCATACTTTTTAACCTTGATGTTTACAGTCCCTTTACAGTGAAATATATTACTTTTAACCTTGATGTTTACAGTCCCTTTAGAGTGAAATAGATTACCTTTTAACCTTGATGATTACAGTCTTTTTACAGTGAAATAGATTACCTTTTAACCTTGATGTTTTCGGTCTCTTTACAGTGAAATAGATTACTTTTTAACCTTGATGTTTACAGTCCCTTTACAGTGAAATATATTACTTTTAACCTTTATGTTTACAGTCTCTTTGCAGTTAAATAGATTACCTTTTAACCTTGATGTTTACAGTCCCTTTACAGTGAAATAGATTACTTTTTAACCTTGATGTTTACAGTCCCTTTACAGTGAAATAGATTACTTTTTAACCTTGATGATTACAGTCTTTTTACGGTGAAATAGATTACCTTTTAACCTTGATGATTACAATCTTTTTACGGTGAAATAGATCACCTCTTAACCTTGATGTTTACAGTCTTTTTAAAGTGAAATAGATTACTTTTTAACCTTGATGTTTACAGCCCCTTTACAGTGAAATAAATTACCTTTTAAAATTGATGTTCAGTCTCTTTACAGTGAAATAGATTACCTTTTAACCTTGATGTTTACAGTCCCTTTACAGTGAAATAGATTACCTTTTAACTCTTGATGTTAACAGTCCCTGTACAGTGAAATAGATTACCTTTTAACCTTCAAGTTTACAGTCTCTGTTTACAGTGAAATAGATTACCTTTTAACCTTGATGTTTACAGTCCCTTTACAGTGAAACAGATTACCTTTTAACCTTGATGTTTACAGTCTCTTTACAGTGAAATAGATTACCTTTTAACCTTGATGTTCACAGTCTCTTTAAAGTGAAATAGATTACCTTTGAACCTTGATGTTCACAGTCTCTTTACAGTGAAATTGATTACCTTTTAACCTTGATGTTTACAGTCCCTTTACAGTGAAATAGATTACCTTTTAACCTTGATGTTCACAGCCCCTTTACAGTGATATAGATTACCTTTTAACCTTGATGTTTACAGTCCATTTACAGTGAAATATATTACCTTTTAACCTTAATGTTCACAGTCTCTTTACAGTGAAATAAATTACTTTTAACCTTGATGTTCACAGTCTCTTTACAGTGAAATAGATTACTTTTTAACCTTGATGTTTACAGTCCCTGTACAGTGAAATAGATTACTTTTTAATCTTGATGTTAACAGTCCCTGTACAGTGAAATAGATTACCTTTTAACCTTCAAGTTTACAGTCTCTGTACAGTGAAATAGATTACCTTTTAACCTTGATGTTTACAGTCCCTGTACAGTGAAATAGATTACCTTTAAACCTTGATGTACACAGTCCCTTTAGAGTGAAATAGATTACCTTTTAACCTTGATGTTTACAGTCTCTTTACAGTGAAATAGATTACTTTTTAACCTTGATGTTTACAGTCCATGTACAGTGAAATAGATTACCTTTTAACCTTCATGTTTACAGTCTCTGTACAGTGAAATAGATTACCTTTTAACCTTGATGTTCACAGTCCCTGTACAGTGAAATAGATTACTTTTAACCTTGATGTTTACAGTCTCTTTTCAGTGAAATAGATTACCTTTTAACCTTGATGGTTACAGTCCCTTTACAGTGAATTAGATTACCTTTTAACCTTGATGTTTACAGTCCCTTTACAATGAAATAGATTACCTTTTAACCTTGATGTTTACAGTCCCTGTACAGTGAAATAGATTACTTTTAACCTTGATGTTTACAGTCTCTTTACAGTGAAATAGATTACCTTTTAACCTTGATGTTTAAGTCTCTTTACAGTGAAATAAATTACCTTTTAACCTTGATGTTTACAGTCCCTTTACAGTGAAATAGATTACCTTTTAACTTTGATGTCCGGAGATCTGTTGGGAGATGACCGTGCTGAAGGTAAGGGTGTAGTTGGGGCGCTTCGTGCCTCAACCTCAACAGCTTCAGAAACTAAACTTAACCCTCCGCAAGACTGAATAGGACTACTGCTTCTAGGTGAAGCATCTGCCTTGCCGGAGGTATGGGGCGGAGAGGAAATCAAGGTGGAGCTCCTACCTAGAGCTGAACCCTGGTTGGATCCACGTTTAGGAGAGAAGGGAACCTGGAGAGTTAGATGAGAGTTCGTTGAACTTCGTGGTTTAGGAGAGGAAGGAGTAGAGGGGGGTCTGGGGGAGGTTGGTACAGACATTGTAGAGGAACCAGAGGAAGAGGATCTTGTATCCTTGGGAGTAGAGGAACTAAGGGAGGAGTCAGGTTCACAAGCCGTATCTCCTCGTATCCTAAGTATCATCATCATCATCATCATCATCATCATCATCATCATCATCGTCATCATCATCATCATCATCAAATTTTTATTAGTAGTAATTCATTATTTTTCTTCAACTTTGAAGAAAAAAAATTCAAGTTTTTCTTAAATTCCGCGGGCAACGCCAGGCCCACCAACAAGTTATTATTATGATGGCTAATATTAATAAAGAGCTACCTATCGGGTTGAGTTTGAACCGAACTCCTGGTCCCCTGATGACTAGTTAATGATCCCCAGGAGCTGTACAGGGTACCCTTATCTCCTTCCTGGATAAAAAAAAATAATATTTGAACAACCTGTACGACTGTGTAATCTGGGACACCCTGCACTAATTGAAGTCTATATTTAAGACAACTTGGACAAATATAATGAATCACCCTGTAACTGGGTTGTAAGCACACTGCAATACTCTATGGTACCTAGGTTGGGAGTATACTGCAATACCCTGTACCTAGGTTGGGAGTATTCTTAATCACCATGTACCTGAGAAGGTTGGGAGAATACTGAATAACCCTGTACCTAGGTTGGGAGTATACTGCAATACCCTGTATTAAGGTTGGGAGTATTCTGAATCACCCTGTACCTAGGTTGGGAGTATAATGAATCACACTGTACCTGAGAAGGTTTGGAGTATACTGCATCAACATGTACCTGAGAAGTTTTGGAGAATACTGAATAACCCTTTACCTAGGTTGGGAGTATTCTTCATCACCCTTTACCTAGGTTGGGAGTATTTTGCATCACCCTGTACTGAGAAGGTTGGGAGTATACTGCATCACCCTCTACCTGAGAAGGTTGGTAGTATACTGCATCACCCTTTACCTAGGTTGGGAGTATACTGCATCACCCTGTACCTGAGAAGGTTGGGAGTATACTGCATCACCCTGTACCTAGGTTGGGAGTATACTGCATCACCCTTTACCTAGGTTGGGAGTATACTGCATCACCCTGTAATTGAGAAGGTTGTGAGTATACTGCATCCCCCTGTACCTAGGTTGGGAGTATACTGCATCACCCGGTACCTGAGAAGGTTGGGAGTATACTGCATCACCCTGTACCTGAGAAGGTTGGGAAGTTAGAGAAGTTTGTGAAGAGAAAACTGATTTAAAACCTCGTGACGAACTCCTGAAAGAAATAGAGGGGGATACATTTTCATTAAATATCATTATTTCCCCCTTTTTAAGAATACTTGTTTTCCCCCCTGATATTGAGTTTTCAATTTTAAATTTTAATTCAACAAAATAAATTCTAAGAAGTTTAGGTGTAATACAGTAGTCGGCATTAATATCAATATAATGAAGTCAAATTTTAATTTAAATTTTTTATTTCTTACAGGATACTTTCAAATTACAAGATTACAGGATATTTTCAAATTACAAGATTACAGGATATTTTCAAATTACAAGATTACAGGATATTTTCAAATTACAAGTTTACAGGATATTTTCAAATAACAAGATTACAGGATATTTTCAAATTACAAGATTACAAGTAAACAAAGAGAAGCTTCTCCCTTTTTCCAAGTTTATGTGTATTCATCGAAAGTCGTCTTCATTGTATTACTTAATACGAGACGACTGTACCTAATAAAAAATTTAGGCTTTGTAATGCTGATAATGATAATCCTTTTCTAATTCATTTTAATCAAAATCTCGGGTTGTTGGGCTCCGAAGCGAAGAAAAAAATCACACCTATTGATTTATTTTTAAATTTCATTTTTACTGATTGATGAGATGGATAAGAATTTTACTTTTTCAAAGACGAAAAAGCACAATTTATTAATCATAAAAGCTCAAATAAAGATTTCAAAGGTACTGTTTAGAGGTGATGTAAGTTTATTTGAAATATATAAAAAATATATACTTTGCTTGTCTGTCTATTAGTTTGTTTGTTTGTATCTAATAAACGTCAAAACGGCTAAACTTTGTTATCTAAGACTTTTTTCTGGTTCCAGTATGATTTTATACAATAAATATCTCCGGAAAAAAATCCTATTTTAGTAGAACATGCATGGGAATAAAAGAAGGTTTACAACCGTGCAAAAATGTCCCCGGAAAAAATCCTATTTTAGTAGAACATGCATGGGAATAAAAGAAGGTTTACAACCGTGCAAAATGTCCCCGGAAAAAATCCTACTTTAGTAGAAAATGCATGGGAATAAAGGATGTTTACAATCATGCAGAAAAAAGGGGCAATTGATATAAAAACACCCCTGGATATATTTAATATGGAAATGCTTAGAAAAAAGTCCTATTTATAAAAAAACTTTTCAGACTTTCACAAGACTAAGAACTTTTTTCTTCAGGACTTTAATTCCTGTGGTCTTATTTCCTAAGATTTTATTGGCAGCCCCCATACTATTTTAGAAAAAAACAAGTACCAGGAATATAAAACTCGGGACTTTATTTCCAGTGACATTTTGTCCTAGGACTTCTGCAAATTGGGACTTTTTTTACAAAAGTTTTTATTTCCAGGTTTTTTTTCCAGTAACTTTTTTTCCTTTTACTTTCTTACATAGATTGGATTTGAACATACCAGATTATACCCCAAACTTCCATACCAAAACATAGAGAAATAACAATCGAAAGAGGGCAATTGTTCAAATCCTTCAGAGGGCAATTGTTCAAATCCTTCAGAGGGCAATTGTTCAAATCCTTCAGAGGGCAATTGTTCAAATCCTTCCTAGAGGGCAATTGTTCAAATCCTTCCTAGTGACTGAGGTAAAAAAAGTTTCTTCTGACAGTTTTTATTAATGTTTACAAAATTAGCCATTATAGTGGTATTTGAGAATTCACTTTTAATTTTTGAGGTTAGAAATATAAAAAATATAAAATAATAATAATTGCATAAAATAAATGATTTAATCTGGTTCCTTGAGTTGGTACAGCGCCCCTCTCTAAAGCTAGATCTTGAACTAGCTGAACTAGACTCGTACAGTCGAGCATACCTAGACAGTCAGACCCATAAAACAATTGAATAAAATGACGAACCGGTGTTTCAATGTAAGAAAGAATTCCGATTCGTTTTTGCGGCTAAATTACATGTTGATCTCTTATTTAATTAGAAGTTTTAAATAAATACAGTGATAACCAGAAAACTCTGGAATAGGAAGAAGACTTTTAGAATTAATTTATGACTTTAAATAGTAAAATGAACATAAAACCCCCAAATGTGCGATGTAAACAGTATCAATTCACTTAACAAGTAAAAAGTTACTAATAAAACTGTTTGCTTTGTAATCAATTACAATTAATTTTTTTAATGTCGTCTTCCTATTTTACAGTTTTCTGAAGATAGATAGAAATATCAAGTCGTTGCAATCTCTATTGGTTCTGAATACTCGCAAAGTGCTTTAATGGGCTCAAAGGAATTGAGTCTTTGGAACAAAATCAAATATTTAAACCACAATATCTTTAGAACTCGATGATGTAAACCTTTGATATTTCAAACTCTTGATTACTTGATCTAACAGAATTCATAGTTTGAAATATCTAAGGTTTGCAAAGATATAGTGATTAAAAAATCAGAGTTTGTGGCAAAGACTCAATTCCTTTGATTAGGCTCTACAGGAAAAATGAATTAACTTACTACATCTATATAAATGATTTAGTAATCTTTGTTTGTATGTCCTTTCATAAACCATCTATCATATAAGAGTAAAAAAAAGATATAAATATATTTCATCCTCAAAATAATGATTAAAATAAAGATAAGGTTTCTTTATCTTTGTCTCTTTTTTTATTGCCGTAAAATTGAACCATATTTTGTAAGATATATATTTCTATAATAAGGATATTAAAACTTATAATTCACTTCAAGTTCAGTTACAGCTTACTCGGTTACAGAATACTCGGTTACAGAATACTCGGTTACAGCTTACTCGGTTACAGCTTACTCAGTTACAGAATACTCGGTTACAGCTTACTCGGTTACAGCTTACTTGGTTACAGAATATTTGGTTACAGCTTACTCCGTTACAGCTTACTTGGTTACAGCTTACTCGGTTACAGAATACTCGGTTACAGAATACTCGGTTACAGAATACTCGGTTACAGAAAACTTGGTTACAGCTTACTGGGTTACAGCTTACTCGGTTACATAATACTCGGTTACAGCTTACTCGGTTACAGCTTACTCGGTCAAAGCTTACTTGGTTACAGAATACTCAGTTACAGAATACTCGGTTACAGAATACTCAGTTACAGAATACTCAGTTACAGAATACTCGGTTACAGAATACTCGGTTACAGAATACTCGGTTACAGCTTACTAGGTTACAGCTTACTCGGTTACAGCTTACTTGGTTACAGAATACTCGGTTACAGAATACTCGATTACAGCTTACTTGGTTACAGCTTACTCGGTTACAGCATACTCGGTTACAGAATACTCGGTTACAGAATACTTGGTTACAGAATACTCGGTTACAGAATACTCGGTTACAGAATACTCGGTTACAGAATACTCGGTTACAGCTTACTCGGTTACAGAATACTCTGTTACAGCTTACTCGGTTACAGCTTACTCGGTTACAGAATACTCGGTTACAGAATAATTGGTTACAGAATACTCGGTTACAGAATACTCGGTTACAGCTTACTCGGTTACAGAATTCTCAGTTACAGAATACTCGGTTACAGAATACTCAGTTACAGAATACTCAGTTACAGAATACTCGGTTACAGAATACTCAGTTACAGCTTACTCGGTTACAGAATTCTTGGTTACAGAATACTTGGTTACAGAATACTCGGTTACAGAATACTTGGTTACAGAATACTCGGTTACAGAATAGATATTCAATATGTTTTTGTTCTTCTGAATAGGTTTTCAATAAGAGGAGCTATGAGTAGAAAACCTTCAGTGGACTAGGGTCAATTTGAATTCGAACCGGACCGACTCCTGATTCAAGCCTTGGTAACGCGCGGTACACTATAGTTTGAGTAGAAGTAAATATTTCCATTTACTGATAGCGCTGATTGAAGGATTCATATCTCTAATTAGATAATGAGATAGATAGAAAGATAGTTGTTACCCCCATACTATTTCTTTTGGTTCAGAAAAGACTCAAAACACGACTGAATCCTGATTGGATCAGGCGCAAATGGACTCGGCATACAGGAGTGGGTAAGTACCGACCCGACCCTGTCCAATATGCCTGCTCGGTTTCAACTTTATTAGCGCGGCCAGACTTTTCACGGTACAGCTGGTCTATCATAGGTCTATTTGTTCCCATTAGCTCAGTTTAGTGTGATCTAACGTGAAATCTACTTTAGTTTGAATATACTAACCTATGTTTATCACCGGGTAGAGATCCAGACTGAGAATTCCTGTGACAAGAACAAACCTTCAAGGAAAAGGATCAAAGAAGAAATAAACTGTTATTAAGAATAAGAAACCTTGGGACCAGATTTTATAAAGAAATTGAGTCACAAATTCAAATTTTCTAATCCATAAATCTTTGCAGCCTTTATGGTGTAAACACTTTTCAAACTATGAATTATTATATCTAACAGAATTCAGGCTTAAAAATATCTAAGGTCTACGACATTGAGTTTCATAGATATGGATTTCATTGTTTCTTGCAGAGACTCAATTCCTATCTAGTGAGGCGTAGTTGAACTCTGGAGATTGAATTGAACCACATCTCATCAAGTTGAACCGGCATACACAAGAAATGGTTTACTATGCCTAAATACAGTGATGTTCTAAATAACTATGAATAATGTTGTTGACGGAAAACAGCAACACGCTAGACAAATCAGGATAATAGGCCGGTTAGGATTCTGGTGGGGGATGTTTATTATCCCCAGACAATTCTTTCCCGATAGGCCGCACAAATACACACACAACAGAGTAACCCCGTCTCAGAAATTCGATAACAAAATCTTTATTTCCTAAAAAATAACATAAATTATAGGTCATGGTTACTTGTACAATGTTATAATGAATGTTAATAGTAGAAAAAATCTTACGAATTATTTAAGGATGGTCGGGGGTGACTTATTTGTTGATCAGTATTGAAATACGTTTTTTAACTTCTGAAAAATTACAGTTGAATATTTAACGAAATTCACTAATTCTTCTTATGAAAATATTTTGCTTAACTTTAATGATTTCACAACAACGAAAATATTTTAAGCTCCGTCGGAGGAGGACAAAGGGAATTGCGGGCTGAAAATTTGGTTTGGCTGTCTCCGACAGGAGATTCAAGTTGAAGACGACATTTTATAGAGGTTTTAAATTAATGGTTAACAAATGTGAATTGATTGATAATTTCAAAGTCGTCTGTGATCTTATAAATAGTTTGCGGCATTCAATATTGTACCTTGATTTTAGCAATATTTTTCTATTAAGCAATAATCACAAAATACCCATAATCCCGCCATTTCTAAAATGTGGACTGCCATCTTTTTGCTTTCAATAATATCAGATAAATTAAGAGTTTGGTATAAATCTCAATTTATTGGATAAATCCATGAAATGTCTCATTCTAAACTAGTCACCAGGCAAAGCTTGGTTTCCAAGCAAGTGAAATTATAAAATTGTCAAAAATGTTGAAGTTGTGTTCTGCCTTGAATCTATGCTTGAATTCGAGTTCTGAGGTTGAAGGAAGAGCCTGCCAATATCCGGGATAGGTTGGGGAGTCTGGGCTCCAGAGTCAGGGAGGAGAGAGTAGGATGCAAAACTAGCGGAGTAATATTTCTTTTTTTTCTGTTACATACATACCTTGCTGCTTCAATGGAATTGTATACAAATAAGACGAAGAAAAAGAAAAAATATTTCCTTTTATTTAAAATTTTAGCAAAAAGTTTATGTTGACATTAAACTCTCTAAATGTCTAGATAAATTGCTAGGGTTTCCGGGTCAATTTGGATCCGTAAAGCTTACGGATCTCTTTCTGAAGCTGTTAAGAATGATAAACCATTAAAAACTTTTGTAAATTAAGGACGAAATATTTCTTAACCAAATAAAGAATACTTACATCTACGCTCTAGAGCTATACAGAGCTGTTTGTGACTTGCTGAAAAAGTTTACGGAGTTCAGATCTATTTCATATGGAAAAATCGTCCACTGAACTTTTTTCAAAAGGATTAAACCTAGCTCTGTGCACCATTTAGGGGGTGTATTTAATTGAAATATTTTTTAAGAAAGGTTATTAAGTTTTTAATGGTTTGACATTTTTCACAGTTTCAGGAAAGGTTTCATTAGGCCTGGAGGGATCCTAATTGATTTGGAAGAAATTGGAAAGGCTTGTAATGCCCTGTCTATAAGTTGCTCAAGTTTCAAGCGAAAAAGAAACTATTCCTTGAGTTTGAATAGCTGCTGGCTAAAGAGTTCTGTTGACTGAGAGCTTGAGGATCACGACTAAACACTCGGGAGAAAAAACCAGGACTGCCAGATTTAGGCACCTAAATTCATGGGCGTATACAGGACGTAATATAGGTAACGGGCATGCTCTGCCTCTGTCTTGAAATTCAACGAGTCATGCGCGTAACTCCTGAGGGCTTTTGCCTCAGGCTTATTGTAAATGAAAACCCCCTAAATATTAAAAAGACGACATCTAGTGTTCTATCTGTATTGTTATTAATCTATGGAAGAAGTTCTCAGAAGTAAGCACTTCAAGAGTAAGAAAATGACGATCAAGGTGTTCAGGGTACCGTTGTAAATCGGGCATTGCAATCATTCCATGGAGGGTCACTAAAGATTACGGTTAAGGCCCCTGTAATCAAACTTACCGTTAAATTGAGGGGAGCCATTCTTTGTCTGGAGCCGAGATTTCCAGTTTGCCATCCTCCATTATCATTGCTGTAACTATTATAGTAATTATTATCTCCATTCTCACTGCAGTAACTATTATTGTATTTATTATCTCTATTCTCACTGCAGTAACAAATTGTAATTGTTATCAACAATATTTTTAATTTTAATAAATCATTCATTACAATAAGCAGTATTGTAATTTAAAAACGTTATTACAGGCACAATTAAGAAAATTTAAGTACTATATGCAAAAAGATCATCATAAACCAAGAAAGATAACAAATTATACCGTTTCTATATAACAAAATGAATTTTTATCAGTACAGGAGTGTCCAAAAACCCGATTGATCAAAATTATATGTTGTTCAGGATTATGGTTTGAATTCTGATATAAGTAAGCATATTAAATAGATATAATTTTGGAAACTAATTATTTTCAATTGTGGTTTCTGTAAAAAAAGTAACTTGCGCAATTCTACTGCAGGAAAACATGTTGCAATGATCAGAATTCAACACTTTTAAGCCTAGAAAACGACAATGTCCTCCTCAATCCTTTGTTACCATGGGCACCAGGTACCAGGCATTTCTTTTTGCATGGAGGGTCACTTGAAATTTTGCTTACAGCCCTTTTAAAGGGACAGACCGGCTAGGTAAGGTAGTTAAACTGAGTATGCAGTGTTGTGGACAATTTTCTTTAGGATTCATTTGAGACACGTTTCACGTTTCAACGATGTATAATTACTGAGTTTGAGTGCATTATCGACGTTCAAAATCATGAATTAGGGTTGGTACGTTGTACACAACACAGAATACTCAGTTCAGTTACCTTACATAGCCGGTCTGTCCCTTTAATACGAAATGTGATTTATAAAGATAACCTTTCTGCGTCCTGGTCAAAACTACTCCCAGATACCAGAATATTAGGAGCCAGATATCGAGGACTACTGGAGTCTATAGAACCCTAGAATTCAGAATTATAAACCTTTTTGTGTGATTAAGCTAATATACAACGCTTGATTTCGATATTTACATAAAAATCAAAAGTTTTGTTGTAAACGTCGAAAAAAAGAATTGAGTCTTTGCCACAAACTCAGATTTTGAACCAAATGTTGCATACCTTAGATATTTCAAACTATGAAGTCTGTTAGATTAAATAATCTGAGTTTGAAATATCAAAGGTTTACAACATAGAGTCTAAAGATATTGAGGTTTAAATATTGGATTTTGTTCCAAAGACTCAATTCCTTTGGCAGAAACTTTTTTAAAAATGCTAATCTTTCTACAAGCCATTCGGACAATTTGTCATTTCGCAGATTTTCCTGTTTTCACATGAAGGATTAACTAAATGATAAAAAATAATCATCTTGATTTTTATTCTGACAGCTACGACACTCTTTTGTAAGTTACCACAAAAAAATTGGGCCTAGTACCGTCGGTTCAGCTGTTTTGATATCTCGAACACAAACCAACAAACAAGTTAAAAATGGATGAAAAAACGTAAACTAACCGTGGATTGATGTTGTCTCTGATCCTCACCACCTGATCCAGGTATAGGGGAGACCTGGAAAAGAACTATTACAGTGGTCACCAGTTTAAAACATGATAAGAAGGTTGTCAATATAGTTACTATTACAGTGGTCACCAGTATAAAATATGATAAGAAGGTTGTCAATATAGTTACTTTTACAGTGGTCACCAGTTCAAAACATCATAAGAAGGTTGTCAATATAGTTACTATAACAGTGGTCACCAGTTTAAAACATGATAAGAAGGTTTTCAATATAGTTACTATTACAGTGGTCACCAGTATAAAACATGATAAGAAGGTTGTCAATATAGTTACTATTACAGTGGTCACCAGTATAAAACATGATAAGAAGGTTGCCAATATAGTTACTTTTTCAAAGGCAGATTCCTGAATAAGCAATNTATAAAACATGATAAGAAGGTTGTCAATATAGTTACTATTACAGTGGTCACCAGTATAAAACATGATAAGAAGGTTGCCAATATAGTTACTTTTTCAAAGGCAGATTCCTGAATAAGCAATTCGAACCTAACTTTCCAAATAACGGATTTCTTATTTCTCAACCAACTAAATTCTAAATAACGGATCTCATATTTCTCAACCAACTAAATTCTAAATAACGCATCTCATATTTCTCAACCAACTAAATTCTAAATAACTGATTTCATATTTCTCAACCAACTAAATTCTAAATAACTGATCTCATATTTCTCAACCAACTAAATCCTAAATAACTGATCTCATATTTGCCAACTAACTTATTTACAAACAACTGATTTATACAGGATTATATCACTACAATGAAGACGACTTTTTTATTTCAGATTTGATTGTTAACAAGCTTTTTATCGAATTACAAGTTTACAAGTAATCAAAGAAAAGGTTTTTTAATCGTCATTTGAAAGTCATTAAAAGTCATTTGAAATGCTGTTATATTTGATTTAAGGTTTAAAGTAAATTATTTTACTTTTAACCAAAAATGTATAAGGATTAAAGTAAATGTTTTTACTTTTCACAAAATAATACCAATTGCATGAATACACGCTAATTCGTCTAATTGAAGATTAAGAGACATGAAAAGAAAATTGTCAAAACCACGTAATGTTTTGTGGAAAATAATAAAGTTTACATTTTCTCCAGGAAAATTAAGTTTTTGTTTTCGGAAATATCATAACTTTGTCTTAACTTTATTCCAGTATGTTTCAGATTGATAGTATTATTAAATTTAGTTTTACTAGTCAATGGCCGATTCATTTAGCTAGGACCAACTAATTAAATTTTCAATTTTTAATTTAGAAAAAAAAGACCGAGCACATAAAATTAGGTCTAGAAGCTCAAGTTCAAAATTATCTAACCATTACACTATCCATGGAGACAGCTAGGAGTCTTTGCCACAAACTCAACTTTTCTAATCCCTATATCTTTGCAACCTGATAGTGTAAACTTTTGATATTTCAAACTTGGATAATTTGATCATTACAATTTACTGTTTGAAATATCTAAAGTTGCAAACTTGCAAAGATATAGGGATTATAAATTAAGACTTAATTTCTTTAGTTCCCATAAATCAAGGGCCCACAAATTATTTTTTTTGGCGAGGATCCCTAAATTTAGATTTTACAATATATAAGGGCCAAAAATATAGCTTTTATTTGGTAGACGGGGCCCGTAAATACATTTTAAATTGTTTAGAAATCGTAATTTTGATTTTAACGATGTTTCATTATCTTAGTTTTGACTTGTCCCAAGGCCCATGCATTAATTGATACCTGGTCCAGGGCCCCTAGATCCTCCATGCTGGGAAACTCCTGTGTAAAGTGTATAGAAATTAAAAAATAAATGTTTAGAAGGTGTGTTTCCAAAATATTTATACAAAATATAACAAGTACACAATACACATACAAGTACATATATATATATTTCATCATGTTATTGATGAAAAATATAATTTATAATTAATGTTAATAAGAGAATATTAATTAATAAGAGAATATTAACAGTATTTGGATTTAAGTCTCTAACTGTCCGTTCTCAATTTGTCCCTATTTTGTTGTGCAAAGGAGTCTTTGGCCACAAACTCCGATTTTTTAATCCAATGTCGTAAACCTTTAATCTAAGTTTAAAATAACAGAGATTTACACCATCAGGTTGCAAAAATATAAGCTTATTCATTTTGAGTATGTGGCAAAGTCTTAATTCCTTTAAATTGATTTAAATCTCAATGGGGGGGGGGGCCAGCCCTCCCCTTGGAGAAACAATCTAGTTGCGCCCTTGAACAAAAGTTTGCTCTGTCATCCAAATAATTTTATAATATGTATAATAAAGCATGAAATTCATCTCTATTCTCTGTTTGAAACAAAGTGCATAATTATTCATATTCATATTTTCAAGAATATAATTCTACAGGAATAGAGTACAGGGGAATATTAATAATTAACAATGAAATCAAGAATATTAAATATAAAAATCTATTTTGGTAAAATTGATCAAAAGAAATTTGTAAAATAATTAACAATAGTCCTGAAAACCTTTTAAGAATATTATAATTATTGTTTAGAAATTCTAAAAATATTAATAAAAATACACATGTAGTATGGAAACATTGTTTGTATGTACGCGGTTACCCATAAAGAATTAAAAGGAATCTGAAGTCACAAGTGTCAACTCAGTTTTTATGTCCAACAACATTATTATGAATAGAATAATTTGAAGATTAATTTAATTTAGAATAAAGAGCTTAATTATCTTACAGTAAAATAAGTTTAATTTGTTGTGTTCTTTATTTCTGTTTTGACTCTTTTTTTAATCTTGGAAAGCATGTCAACTAATGTGAGAAAACATCGTTTTCCTTGTTATATTGGACACTTGTGGCGTCGTGAATAATTTGCCCATTTCTCTGTTGCCACCTATTGTACTTGATTGATAATCTATTTGAATCCCATTAGCTTTGTTTCAAGTGGTTGACAGAATTTGCGATGACATCTAATTGAAGTTACTTTACGGTACATCTTGTTAAATTATTAAAAGGGTACTGTTGTGTATCTGTTTACCTGTAGGGTTGGATCTGCTTGATGTGCGAGAGCTCTAATCATTGTATAATTCGGAACAATCTTCAGGGGATAAACATCTTTCACCAGGACATCACAGGGTATATACTTAAACTGTATATAGTCAAGGAAACTTCTCATTTTCTTCCTAGATAATCAGGATATATACTTAAACTGTATATATAGTCAAGGAAACTACTCATTTTCTTCCTAGATAATAAGGATATATACTTAAACTGTATATATAGTCAAGGAAACTTCTCATTTTCTTCCTAGATAATCAGGATATATACTTAAACTGTATATATAGTCAAGGAAACTTCTCATTTTCTTCCTAGATAATCAGGATATATATTTTAACCATATATAACTTGCTTAATTTTTTTTATTGGGAACTTGATAGAACCACTGAAATGGCTTGGGTGGTTAAAAGATATAAATTGAGTAGGGGATTAGGGGATAATTTAGTTTTCAGACAAAGCTGGGTTCCAAAACTAGTTTTATTTTAAAGACTTAGCGTCAAAAAGAATTAATTTGACCCCAGGTTATCATTTGTGAGATAGCTTAGTCTGTTTTATTTTCTCTACAGGATGACTATTTTAAGACAAACAGAAGAGCTAAATATATCACGTACATCTTGTCTGCATATTGGAATATTTAGAGTCATATTTTGATATTTTATTTTAAAATTTGTCAAAAATCATGCACGCACGGTGGATTAGGGTCAATTTGAAATTGAACGGGACTTACCCCCTGTACCGGCCTTAGTGACCCGCGAGAAGTACCGGCCCCACACTATCCCATGCCAGCCCAGTTTCAACTTTGATGGCGCGGTCAGACTTTTTACAGTAGCTGGCCTATTTTACCGACTGAACTATATTTTGGTGTATGTAAGAGACAATTAGAAATACTTAAATATTTAAGAAAAAGAGACCAACAAAAAGTATAATATAGTAAAAACTAAAAATTTACAATTAATGGGTAAAAATAAGGTTTTCTTTTAACCAGGACCTCTTCTTCTCCGTGTTATAAACTTATGTATCTATATAATAAAGGTCTTCGCTCATATATATTTATTAATTACCTAATCTGAATCATAAGTTTGAACCTCTAACCTGAATTTAACGGTGTTTTTGTCCGAGTTGTTCTTGCACCACATCAAAGCACATTCAAACTTTATAAATTCATCCGCATTTAGACTCGACCTAGGCAGTAAACAGGCTTTAATTCATTTATATTATCATTATGCATACTTGACTTTTATAAAGTCACTACTAGTGAGTCTCCTTTTGACGATTGACTCATGTTTGAATAATTTTTTTATAAAAATTGCCTTTAATGCTAATACAAATATTTTTATGGTTAATTATCGAAAAACTAGTCTTTGAGAGTATGTACATCTATGGCCACACATGCGGTTTTAGAGCAATGATGCGTAAAATGCGTTTATTCTTTTGATATCCATAATAACGGAGACACTGGAAAATAGTTTTTTGTCCTAACAATACAATATCTTGTTGTGGTATGGAAAAAGATGAATTTTAAATTTGTACTGATAAGTTTACCATCTACAGAGCAGGTTTTGTGCTTTATCGAGTTATTACGCAATTGCACATTGGCATTGCACATTGGCCTTCTACCTCTACAAAAGCTCTACTAAATTCGTACTAGTCCGATACAATCCTCATACTGTAATAAAATTGCAAATATTAAACTAGTATTCAATAAAATAGACTTAGTTGCTCCTATGCAGTTAAAGCTCCAGATATATATTTTTCACCAGACGATATTTTGAGCTCAGCAGCAAATAATGGACATATTGCGCATATTTCTTAAGAGCCGAGGTCAATTTACAGTGATAAAATTCAAAGGCCTGAGATTACGGAATTTTATAGACAATGAACCTTGCTGAATGGAAGTGAAAATTATCTGAATTATTGGACTTCCTTATCAAGTCCTGAACCATGGAAGCCCGCAGTTTAGATAGGGCTTTAGATGATAAATCTTTAAACCTTAAAGAAAAAGCCCTAAGTCGATTTTATATAAATCAGTTCAGACCAAAAGGAAAAGAGAATAGAATATATATTAGAGGGGTATTTGAGGAATCTCTCAGTATGAATTTTTTCAGTCCCTTTCAGCCTGAAAGGGAGTTCAATGTGTACAAATCATGTAAATGTTCACAAATTATATGCAGTAGAGAACATTAATACAATATGTTCCCTAGACTATCCATTTCAATTTCGAATTTTTTAAAGCTGTTAAATAAACTTTATAATGAATTAGGTGAATAAATGAAATCATTTGATTTATATTTAAATCAAAGTCATCATTTGTAAAGTGGAAGGCATAAAGTCTATGTGAAATGATCATTGGTCAATTATGAAACCAGCCTATTTCATAATTTGGTCCACTTTACACTTTTTTTCTAGTAAATTCCCCTCTAACACATATTCTCTTCTCTTTTTCAAAAGCTTTATAATGTTTAAAAGACACTGAAAAATGTTTAATAACATTGTTAAAGATTCTCGAACCTTGCTCAATATCGAAGTGCAAATTATCTGAATTTTTAGACTTGCTTAATGCTTATCAAATCAAATCCTGTACTTTGTGAGAGCCCATAGTTTAGAAAAGCTTTAAATGCATTAAATTCTAAAGAACAAAGCCGAATATGCAGAAAACAGTTCAGACATAAATTTTGTTGCAGAGTATGATATTAATATGATTCTACCTTTGATTTAATTACACTGAAAAATCTTTAACAAAATTGTTAAAAATTCTCCCTTTAAGTTAGTTTAGAGTGCAGACATTAAATGTTTTATATTTGTACACCGGATTTTTTAGATAAAAATACCTTTTCTGGATTCACATAAAGCTTTCTAAGATTCAAAAGAAAGTTAAAGTCTATTAACATGTTAGATATAAGAGACATCTAGTGGTTTCTAACTAAACTAGACATGAACTTGCAAACATGCATTATAAGTCCGATGATTCGATTCGACCAATAACATTGAATGTGTTTAGATGTCTGTCCAATAAGCGTAACTCTAGGATTGCCTGGGGTTAAACAAGCCCATTAAGCATGACTGCAGTGAATGGCCTGGGGCTTGACCTGGATACCAGTCAATTAAACCAAATGCAGGAAAAGTACCTGGAGGAAGGGGGGGTGGGTGCAATTCTCCAAAACCTTGAATAATATATGTTTAAAGAAAATTGTTTTCTTCAAATGTTTAAAGAAAATGGAGAAGGGGGGGGTCATGAATGACATATCATAATCTATCTAAGTCATCAAAGTATCATATTTTGTGAATAACCCATGTATTAATAAAAAAATAAATCACCAACCATCCCATACATTCCAGAGTCGGAAACTTAAGAGAGTTTAGATGAACGCGAAACCTGTTGACCCAATAATCCAACAGGATATGTACTATTATTTTACAATAAAACAGAAAAATACATAAAACCTTGTCTTACATCTGTAATTGAAACCCAGTTTCGTTTTGCAAAACCCTTTTTTAAGTTTACACATGCTAATCCCTCCCTTCCTCTTAATACTCCGTCTACCAATAAAAACAATATTATTTTATAAAACAAGTCGTTACGTTAACAACGAACCTTTGTTAGCGACGACCCTTCATTAACGATCGCTAACAAAGAGAGAAATCCTACCTTAAGGGCATCTGTACTTATCATTGAGTAGATTTTAAAAATATATCAAGAAGTTTTAGCTCCCCCACAACTATTCCACTTCATGTAAGACGACATTCAATATAGTTGCATGTATTTTTTTTTCTAAAAAACGATCGTTTTTAAAGAGTTTCTTTAACCCTCGTTCACGACAACCCTTTGTTAACGATCGTTAACGAGGACCCTTTTCAAAAACAATAGTTTTATTAAAAGTGACTGTTTTTAAAAAAAACTGTCGCAAAACGTTATTGTAAAAATGATCATTTTCAAAAACGATCATTATTTGTTTTCTAAAAGTTCATTGTTTAGAATGATCATTTTTTCCAAAAATGAAACAATTGTTTTTAACAACGATTGAAAAACGAAACAAAAAACGATCGTTTTCAAAAACAATCAACAACCCTACCTACAGGCCTAAACGACACTTTTTCGGGATCTTGTTAAATACGATTTCCAGGTTTGTACACAGAAAGGGTAGGGAGGATTTAATCTAATATTTTATTGTGAAGTCATTTAGCAAGAAGTGTGCAACATGTTTTTTTGCGAGATATGACAAATTATACATTTTTGAAAAGCCCTTGACACAGCAAATTCAAATGTGCAAAAGTGTTTGCAAATTTTTATAACCTAAATGTGTATTCAAGGAAGACTAAAATTGGGCGAAAACTGGAGAAATTCCTCACTTTTGTTACCCGGGGAGCGATTCATCCCAGACAAGCTAAAGGAATAAAGGAAATAAATAGTGAAACTATATGAGTTCATCAATTCCAGAGAAGTCGGAAAGACTATAAATCGAGGAACAAGTAGACTTCCTAACCCTTTCCAAACTTCCAACTTCTCCAAATTAACCATACCTTAACGTCAAAAGAGTTAGTTAAGGCCAACCAAGAAATAAGGAGGATGACAAGGTACAAAATTATTGCATGCTAATAGGCCTAGATTTGAGATTTAGCTTAGTAAACAATTGCAAAAACCTTCTCCCACCTGGGCCCTTACCATTCCAATCTGATTTAAAAACAGTTTGATCAGCTGTATAGAATCAGCATTCCTGATAACTGCAATAACAAAAGCAAAATAAAAAAACCATGACATGCCTAGTCTGGAAAATAAAACATATAGACACTGCATTTCAAGTGTAGAGTGTAGAAGCAAGGTGTCCACAACAAAATTCCAGAACCAAAAACATATTGGTGGTTATATAGACGTCCAAAAAAACTTCTCTTTACAATTTTTCCAAGAACAGGATGGAAAATTGAAGCAAGGAAAAAAACATTGGAAAATTAGAACTGTGACAGGGTGTGTGCAGACATCTAACCATAGTTTAAGTAGACGTAAATATTTCCATTTACTGATAGCTCATATCTCTAATTGGATAATAAGATAGATAGAAAGATAGATGTTACCGCCATACTATTTGTATTGGTTCAGAATAGACAACAAACACATAACTGAACCCTGATTGGATCAGGCGCTAATGGACTCGGCATACAGGAGTGGTGTGAGGACCCTGTTTAATTGATTTGACCAGCATCTATTTAATTAATACATATTGTTAAAAAAAATTTTTTTTTTAAATATTAAAAATGTGATAATTTCTTATCCTGGATATATACCATCATATTAAGCTACGCGGTAACTCATAATAGATGAGACTTCAGGTTAAAGATTTCCTTTCATTTGATAATCTGTGCAACTGGAAACTTGTTTCTATCTTAAAAAAATCAATAAACATTAAAAGGCTTCATTAATAACAGAAGACTAAGTTTTACTTGAAATCATCATATTGCATGAGTTTCAGGTAGTCTATACAGTCTCATTCTTTCTGGGAAACATTGGCAATATGTCTTCAGAAACGCACTTGACTAACTAATGTTAATTAATTTTAAATACTTGCACGCACAATTTCTATTTGAGATTAATGAACTAGGTTACAAAAAACTTATGAGATAAATGTTTGACTTTACAGTCTAATACATACATATTATGTACATATTGAAAGTTTATAGATATTTTAAATAAATACATTTCATAAAATTTGATACTTTTGGTCCCGCTGAAAGGACCGGACACACTTTTAGTTTAAAAGATGGACTGAGAAGTGAATAAAAAATATATCTGGTAAATGTAAGAGTAGATTCATAAAATAAATTATAATGCATAAGAGATTTCTTATACATATACGTCACAATATATACTAGCACATACAGGATACAGGATACAGGATATAGGATATAGGATATATGATACAGGATACAGGATACAGGATACAGGATACAGGATACAGAATACAGAATACAGAATACAGGATTCAGGATACATATAGGCTAAATCAAGAAATATATAGAACAGGAACGGCCATATCTGATGCGTCAAATCTATGTACTGCAATGGGAGGAGATCAAAACAAAGAATTCAGGGGCAAAACATCAATTATGTGGGAGGGGGGCTACTTAGGGTACATTTAAATGTGAATTTTAAGTGATAAATATGGTGTTTTCCCAAAGGCATTTTCCCAAGTGATAATTTCTCGAGTGGAAACTTCCCAAAGGAATTGAGTCTTTGTAACAATTCAGGATATGACAATTATATGCATTATTTTTACTTTGAAATTTAGGACATCATA